TTCTTCCGGAAGAAAAAAGTAATCACAAACAGCTCAAGAACAATATTTGAAAACTTAAGAAACATTTGTCATTGCAGAATTAGCTCTTCAAGACTTAAAAATACCTTTAAATAGGTTCTACCATTTTCTATGCGTTTGTTGAATTTCTGCTAAAAATGTGCTTTTGAAGATGCATCTCCTTCTGCAAAGACTGAATGATCGCAGAAGCCAACTGAAAGGTAAAACCCTATAGCTGTCTAGTATTAACGGAAACAGAACCACGATGTTGAAGGACCCATTATTTTCCAATTCTTGGCTCACACTGTCCCTGTTATGAGTTGTTGCTTTTTATTCAGGTTTTGGTTTGTGTTACTGATTTCTGATCATCTGTTTCTATGTTGTGTGCAGGTCAGCTGCAGCTCCTTCCAGGTGCCCTGCCCCCCACCCCCCACACCCCGGGGGCTTCTCCCGAGTGTCGCAGCTGACTGCAATTGCCCAATTACCACCCTTACTTAAGCCACTGTTTTCCAGCCCTCAGTGTGGCGTTGTTTTTTTCTGTATTGCTAAATGGAGCCAGTGTGCCTTCGTGTTTGTGACTTCTGTTTTGTTTTTCCCACAGTGTGTGGTGATTTTTGGTTATTAAAGACCCTGAACCAGAATCAAGGCTGGTTATTCCTGCAAATGGGTTACTGACTGAACCTCACCGTGACATTCCCGCGTTTATTTATTTATTTTTAAATCGTTCCCAGCTCCTGCATATGTTGGTGTACAATACAACAGAATTAATCACTTCAATTACACTGTATGTTCCACAGAAGTCTGTTATTACCTAATAACTGTTATTTACCAAATATCTAAAGCAATGACAGAACCGTAACATTTTTAAAGAATATGTGACTAAGTGCCTCGAGGACTAAGCATGAGAAATAATAAACTGAACTTTTCTCAAGAAGTCTGGATTATCTCATGTTGCAAACGGCCTCAGTGAAGGTTTGTCACATGACAGTATATCTTTCATTTTTACCAGTGGTGAATCAGAAAACGGGGGTCTGAGGCACTCAGGAGAAAGATAATGATTGGAAAGCCTTTATTTATCCATGGCTAGTCAAATCAAATCACGTCAACAAGTTTCAACCAACCTGGCATCGGTCAGGTTGCAGGTCTGTTGTCCTGACCAAGGGCAGGCTAGTTTGAAATGAGTTGACTTGATTTTCTTTGACTAGCCATGGATAAGTAGAAGCTTTTTAATCATCATCATTCTCCTGAGTGCCTCAAACCCCTGTTGTCTGAAGCTGTATGTGGATCCCGCCTCTGAAGAGCACTGGAGGTATTTCTTTTTCACACCCATCAAGTACTTCATGCATTTTTGCTGTTTGTCAGCCTCACGGAATGTTGGCCATTTATCCACCACTTTACCGTTTTATTACAGGATAAAACTAGCGACTGACTTCATTAGTATCACTTCTAAAAATAAACTCAAATGATGCATACCTGCTTCCTTTTTCATGTTTGATGTATGACTGGAAGACAATAAAACCTGCGTACTTCTCTTTTGTGAGAGGTGACAGTTCCTATGAACTGTGAAAGCTGTAAAGCAAGCCCTCATTTACCTACGGCCAATGCAACAATGAAAATCAATGACGTTTGATAATATGGCACACGTCAGAGTGTTCATTGATGGAAATCCGGATTGCATTACAAAAAAAGTTGATATTTCAAAGAATGATATTTTGATTTTGTTTGATCTAGATCTCAAACTAATTAACTTTTGGAGACAACCGCATTCAAGATGGCCTCAATGGCCAATTGATTTGGACACAAAGTAAATTGTACGAATACTGCAAGCTTCATATATTATGTTTTGTGCAAGATATTTCTCAATGTGATTCCCAACAACCAAGCGATAAAGCACCATCAATTTTTTAAAGGAAAACAATCTTAGTTTAAAATTGGAATCCAAGGTGATCAAGATATGCCAGGGTTATGGGCTCGACATACGGGAGGCGACAAACGACCGCGATCAGCGAAATTTGTTGCTGTCGCTTTTATTACCTGACACACGGGAGGTGATCCGCGGTAGCGACCAGCGGCAAAGCCGTCTACGCGTTCTGTTCCAGGATGAAATTGAAACTTCCGTTTTTTGTTTGGCTGTGTCAAGTTGGAGGGAATTAAGGTTATTTAAGCGGTTCAGAGTTAATAAAGTGGTAGATATGATGTTTCACAAGGTGCTGCTAGAGTTATGTGAAATCTTACTTCTGATTTTTACTATAAAACATAATAATAAACTTCTCCTCCATGTTTGCTCGGAGATGTACGGAGCATCCTGTCCGCTCATTGGTCAGTGAATGAAACCTCCGTTGATTGGTCCTCGTCCGAGCGACAGCGATGAAAAGTTGAAAATGTTTCAACTTTCTGGGATCGCGTCGCTGGGTCGTCCGTGCACGACACGTGCACGAGCGCAAAATTTCACACGTAAGTTTTTCGCGTTTTGCTTGGTAGGAGGGAGACCCGCGATTATTGCTTTGTCACGTATGTCTCATTGAAAATCAACGGAGGAGAGGCGATGTCGCCTCCCGTGTGTCGAGCCCATTAGGGTTAGAGTTAGAGTTGGGGTATCCTTTTTATTTGTGGTTTACATTTGAAATAATTTTTAATGTCACATAAATGCTTTTGCATATTCGTTTGAATGTTTCAAATACATTTTACTAGACACACTTTTGTTTTTTAGTGGATGAAGTTGGGTTGGACTCTCATCCGTGTTGTTTAATGATAGAGTAAGGATGCGAGGCAAAAGCTGCTAAAGAAAGGAACAAGGAAAAATATCTTCTCTTCCACAGAAGCCATAATGTTGGGTTGTGTCAGGAAAGAACCCTAATTAACGTTTATAGACTTCAGGCAGCTTATCATTAAACATACACAATGCATTAACACGAAACCAAAGGTGAAACAAGGCAGGTTATAAAGGTTAGTGAATACAAAACTGAAACCCAGCTATGAGCAGCAGAAAGATCCGTTAAACAAAGGTGTAATCATTTCAAAACAGAAACCGTTGCAAAATGCGGAAAGGAAACCTTACTCAGGTAAAGATTTAAAGCCATAAAGACGCTCCTAAACACCCAAAGTCATGTTGACATGGAAACATCTTAGCAAAGACGACATTTAAATCTGATCTTTGGACACAAAGCTTCAAGTGATTTCGTTGATTGTTGAAAAAATAATAGCAAAGTGAGTTGAGCAGGTGATGTAGTACATTTTCCAACTGAAATGACACAGTTCCCTAGAGTTCTGGGTGTGGTGTTTGTCTGAGAGTAAGTAATCACTGCTGAACGGGCCATGTGACAGAAAATCATCCTACGTTGGGTGGATGCCATTTCTTACTGACACAAAAAATTAAAAAGGAAAAGACTTAGATAAAAACAACCAACTAATCAGGTTCAGGAACTGGTGTGACTGGAACCAAGGGTGGTGTGTCCAAGAAATGTCTTCAGATATAATCGTTTGTTTTCCTTTTGAGCAAAGTTCTTGTTTTTGTTCTGCTCTGAGGTTCTCACTGCTAAAAAAAAGGCCAGCACAAATGTTCTACACAACGCAACAAAGCCATGGTGCAACAAGCCAAAGGCTTCTTTAAGGGGCATCCTATCCAAAGCATATTTTAGACTGCTTTTATCCTGAACATTACACGGTGTGTGAAGTTATTTGTGGAAGGAACAGGTGACTTCCTCCCACATCAACACCTTCTCTGGGGGTTTTCAGGGATGATTTTTGGTGTTCGATCATCAATGCATGACGCCCTGAAACCACACACCCCATGACTTGTTTGGTTCTGTTATGTAAAAAGTTTGAAGGCAAATTTTCAGAGCTTTTTTTTTTTTTTTTACAACTTTAAAAGCAGCTGAAGAAGCTTTTCAGTTTCTCTAATTTGCAACAGATTTACAAAGAAGCAGTTGTTGAAGTCTTTCTCTTTGGGCAACATTGATTAAAATAATAGTACTTCGTGTGATTTCACATTTAAAAACAGGATTAAGAGACTTAATTTCCTGTCTTTTATGGAAAATTGGTCTTTAGCTGTAATATTTGGCCAGGCAGATCCTGCCAAACCAAGAATCATCTGATGATCTGCTAAAGTCATCTTTCCAAAGCTGGTGAATACACTTCTGCACATCCATCATGGAGCATACGAGAGACACTGCAGTAATTATATGTGACAATAATTACACTAAAGTACTTTAACCATTTGAAGACGAATGTATGAACATATTTTCGTTCAGATTCACATTTTTATTCTCATTTCAGAAACAAGTGGTTTTGTGTTTATGTCCACACGTAGCCGGGGATCTGCCAAAACGTAGATATTTTTCTACGTTTTGGCCTGTCATCCACACGAAAACGGATCTTTTTAAAAACTCCGGCCAAAGTGAAGATCTGCGTTTTCTCCGTTTTGGGTGTCTGCGTGTAGACAGACAAAACCGGAGTTTTAAGGTCCGCAACGTCACTTTCCGCGACAAAAAATGCTGACATCACGTGTGCGACCTGTGTTTACACTAGCCGACAGCATGGATGCCCTCAGAGCTGCGCTCGCTTTATCAATTGTCCAAGCGCTGTTTGCTTGTTTATTTTTGCAAGTTGAATTACTGCTCCTTGCGGAAGACCACAGACGAAGGACGAGGTTTGGAGTTTAATGCATTAAAGAAACTGCCATGTGGTTGGTTGATTAGATAATTGCATTAAAGAGAAGTTGAACAGGTGTTCCTAGTAATCCTTTAGGTGAGTGTAGATTGATTGAAATTCTGTTTGAGGGTGCCAGCTGGAGTTACAGCACAGCTGGAATGTGTATCTGTGGGTCAGCTGGTTTCCTGTTGCTGCCTCTTCTCATTCTCACTGAGTGACTGAGGAAATGAAAATATGACGTAACACTGCAAGGCTTTGAACTTTTCCTGTACTCTTTGGCTACATTTTTTAATAAGGGGTGGATGAGTTCTGCCATATGGTATGGGAAGAATAAAAACCCAATGACATCAATATTCTAGCTCTGCATGCATAATTTCATTTTGTGCAATAATACATACATTTTGAGACATTACCTGAAACGGTTATAGAATATATGTATAGTCAGTAAAATTGAAACAATCACCACACTTTATTCATTTTTATAGACGCACTGAAAGTGGCAAATTCAACTTTTGTATCTATAACCCCATTATCATTCATGTGCAAAAACAGGTTGTGGCAAATTTAAATAATAAATTCTTTAAATAAATATGAAATGAGTAAGGACCTGTTTATTAAGCTGCATGCAAACGATAGTTCATGAGAGGTAGATTTACAGACAGCCTCATTCATTCTTCAAATGAAGCAAGACAATTATGAAATGAAATCCACTGAGTAGAAAAACTAGTCCTGAAGTCCATTTCTCACAAAGGTCTTTGCAGCAATGACAGTAAATAAAATTAAGCATCTTTCAAAACAGAATAAATGTGAAAAATTTGTTGTTTAAAAATGTAAATCACAATTTTACAGTAACAAAGAGGAAAACCAATATTCCACTTTAAACAGTGTCAAAGGATGTGGGAAGGTTGAAATGTTCTAACTGCACACAAAACCGTTTTATTTCACTTTTAACACTACTCAAAACTGTTCTTTGAGCTTCTTTATACCATGGGAACGTTTGTTGGGGCTCAAAATGGCCCAGGAGCCCTGACCAATGGCCAAATACAACTCCATAGAAAAGACTAGTTTACCCCACCCACTCTGCCAGGACATGAATATTAAACGAGCTGCGTGCTGATTGGCTGGTTTACCCAATAGCTCTATGGCGCTGCCTGAACCTATAAAGTCTGTGTACAGTAGCCGGATAACTCAACATGCAAGCTAAGGGTCTTTCTGGTTTTCATTCAAAGTCAGGAAACTCCAAATAGGCTATATCCTAAAATGCTACGTCTGTTCTCGGACATTCTTCCTGGTTTTCCATTTGTCTGAAAAAGGTTGTTAGTGGTAGCTCGGCCTACCGTTTTCTGTGGTTAGCATTACCACCATGAAAATGTAATTACTTCCACCACTGAAGTGGGCTGGGACATTTAGGCTGTGTGTCTATGTCTATGATATGTTATACCACTAATACCAAAATCACTAATTAGCATAGGAAAGCAGATCAGAGACAGCGCAGACTTTTGATACACTTGACACCCCGAACTGCCTATTATCCACAACAACAAGAATGCAAATGTAGTTTTGAATTTTCAGACCCATTTAAACGTTTATGCATATATAAAATATAAATTTCAAGCTAACGTCTAAGTTAAATCTACATTCCTCACACCTTCTAAATGACCTCGCTCTAGACGTGTGTCGATTTGGTTCTGCTTCCTTTGTAGTTTCTCTCCAGCGCTCCTCGCTCCAAGTTTAATCAGTAAGACTGGAAGCTGCCGAATCTGTGCGACCGTTGCAGAGGAAACCCAGTTGCGGATGTGTAAGTGAAGCTGTGGAAGGTTGAGCTCTAAAGTTCCTCTTTGTTTACTACCATCCTCAGTCTGCAGCTTGTGCACAATTCGACGCAGGCGTTTCATTTTCATCTTGTGATTAATGAAGAAAGCTGGGATGACTTCTTTCAGGTACTCAGCTCCATCTGCAAAAATAAAAATTCAATAAACTGTCAGTTCATTAAAAAGCATTACATATTCTCAGTGTTGGGAGTAGCGCAGTACAAAAGTAATTAATTACTGTAATGCATTGCTTTTTGCTGTAATGTGGTAATGTAAGGCATTACAGGGAAAGAAAATGGTCATATTTACTCGGTACAATTGTCAGTAACGCAGTAATTACAACGCATTTTTAAACCCAGAATCAAGCTGCGTTTCTTAAAAATTCAAATTGCGGGAAACCCGAAAAAAGATCCAGTATCTGCATATATTACGTCATTTATGGACTCAGCTTTGCGGGCAGAGTGGACGCCGCGGTAACGGCTCAAATACTTCAGCTGCATCCTGCGCGCGGCCGCTGTAACATTCACAAAATCGCTCCACGAAAACAAAATAATTCACCTGCGATCGTTCATATCAACGCATATTCTCTGGTATTCTGTACTTTTCTGACGTGCTTTGCCTCAGCTGAGTTAATCTGGGCTCTGGTGATTTTAACTCATTACTGCTGGAGCGCCGCACATGTGAAGATCCCTTTGGCTGATCGTTAGAAAGTAGGAAGTCTAGGAAACGGGTTTTCTGGAAGACGGAGAAAACATACAGCATGCAGGAAGGATAGAGAGAGAAAGGGCCGGAAATTATTCAAATAAAATCAAGAAAACAAAACAAAGTGCTTGAAAAGGAAAAAAGTAGGTACATTTATCCCCTATACACATGTTTACCAGTGAAAAGCAATAATATATAAGCATTTAATATTTATACATGTGATAGAATCAGATCACCCCAGAAGTCAGTCCCACATCCAGGGCCGTATCAAGGCATTTGGGGACCAAGGCAAATATAGGCTTGGAGCCCCCACCACCCCACTCCCTGCTCAGTTAATCTAAGATGGCAGCGCACTGAGAGTACAGATTGTTGTTGCTTTTATTTAATAAACAATCCTTCTAAAGAACTGTTTTTAACAGCAATCCTAGCTCAGACACCACATCACCTTCCACCCGATGTGTCATGAGTTCACCAGGCATCAGATTACCAAACTCATACTGAAGTTGTTTTGTTGAAAGTAACTTAGAGTAATGCAAAAGTAGTGTAATGCCTTACATTTTAAAATCAGTAATATTGTAATGTAATGAATTACTTTAAAATGAGGGTAACAAGCAATAAATAATGTATTACAGTTTTGAAGTAACTTGCCCAACACTGCATATTCTTCACTGGCAATGACATGGAGCTAAACTCTGACTAAAAATAGAAACTGAAATCAAACATGTAGTAGTCATAAATCAAGGTTTAGTAACAGTTTTAGTTGGTTCCTTTAGATAAAGGCAAGACTGAGAAGTGGAAGTGCTTTAATGGGTTTAGTGACTCAGTCCTCTACCCCATGCCTCTAACATTCTTAAATCTGTTAATTTCTTCATCAAATTATTATTATTATTCAAGAATCAAGAATGTTTTGTCATCGTGCCGGCGTCCCAGTACAACATAATTACACTTTCAGAACAACCCGTCCAAAATTTGACGTACGATAACAAAAACAAGACACAACATTACAGAATCAGGCTCAACTGTGGGCATGCGTGCATTTTGCACACCCTCATGCAAAAGTGAAAAAGGGTAACATGAGGAAAGTACGAGGAGGAGAGAGAAAAAGGCATTCCATTCAACTGTTTTGTCTTTTTCTCATTAAACGTTTGCAGACTGCTGCTTTTACCTTTGAGCTAAGGAGCTTTGAAAGAAAAGCGTCTGGACTTCTTTGAGTTGCTTGAAGACGTTTCACCTCTCATCCAAGAGGCTTCTTCAGTTCTAAGGTCAAATGGTGGAGAGTCCTAGATTTAAACCCAGTGGGAGTTTCCCCCCGAAGAGGGAACAAAAGACCCCCCGATGATCTTCTACATAAACACATGAGCCAAGGTGTGAGGGTGGGTGTGGGTCCTATTCAGCCAGAGTTTCGGGTGAGCTCATTGTGAAGCCTGGCCCCACCCTATCACGTGAATTCCTGAGGTCAGGTGGCCCAGGATATGCGTGGGCGTTGAGGCATCTGGGAAGGGATCTCAAAACTGGATTATAGATGGCAGACAGTTGGTGTCGTAAACCACCACCTCTGTTCAAAGATGGTTGCTCACAGTGGACATAAATGGCTTCCTTTACTCCTCTTTCAAACCATCTGTCCTCTCTGTCCAAAATGTGAACGTTGGCATCCTCGAAAGAGTGACCTTTGTCCTTTAGATGCAAATGAACTGCTGAGTCCTGTCCCGTGGAGGTGGCTCTTCTATGTTGTGCCATGCGCTTGTGAAGTGGCTGTTTGGTTTCTCCGATGTAGAGGTCTGGGCATTCCTCGCTGCACTGTACAGCATACACCACATTGTTCAGTTTGTGTTTAGGAGTTTTGTCTTTCGGGTGAACCAGTTTCTGTCTGAGTGTGTTGCTGGGCCTGAAGTACACTGGTATGTTGTGTTTGGAGAAAACCCTCCTGAGTTTCTCTGAAACACCGGCTACATAGGGGATGACAAGTTTGTTGCGTCTGTCTTTCTTATCCTCCCTCGCTGGTGTCTGGTCTTCTTTTCTGTGCATCTTTGCTGACTTTATAAACGCCCAATTAGGATAGCCACATGTTTTAAGTGATTCCTTTATATGTGTGAAACGTCTTCAAGCAACTCAAAGAAGTCCAGACGCTTTTCTTTCAAAGCTCATTAGACTACAATGACCTGGATGACCGAGAACCTTCACAGACATCTTACCTTTGAGCTCTTCTCTGTTTGCGCACAAATTGTCATGCCAGGTGGAACCCTTCAGCACCAATTCCTGCCCTTCACCATCACATCCAGAGTGCTGTTTGCAGTCGTCCTGAGCAGAGGAAATATCGGAGAAGGTGCCATTGGAGCAGATGTGGCAGACTGTGTCTTTCTTAGGTGTACCTGCAGAAGAATCACGCGTCTGATTAACAGCAAATACAACTTACTAGCGTGGAAATTTCTGCAAATCTTGTTGTTTAAAGTACTTTAAATAAAAAGTTAACAGCAGTAGGTTATTGTTTTGGAGAAAAATGTATTTAAAGTAAAATACACTTAAATGCAATTTGCTACACTAAGACAAACCAGAACAAAGTACTTAGAAATGAAGTTAGTTTTTAAGTGCACACAAATGCTTACTCCCATGTACTTAATATTTTAAGTGCAATCGGTTTGCATGCTTTTCCCAAATAAGTGCAACAAATCAAATTTTACAGTGCAGAAAACAATGAGTGTAAAATGTGTCTATTAGTTACAGCAACAGCCCTGCAGCAACTGCAACTGACTGCAAAAACAAGAAAAATATCTATTTCCTCTCTTGAAGCTTTCATTCTTACATCAGAACGTTTAAATCAGCATGTGATTTGTTTGTTTCCAGCATGTAATAGAAACATGCAAAAAAGCTACGCGTCAAACCAGCTTAGAAAATGATGTGCTTGACCACTGCACAACCAGACTGACTGTGTCTGTGCTCTTCAGCATCCTGGTGTCTAGGTGGCCATGAAAACAGAGATAGGAGTCTAATTTGATTAAACAAGTATGTCCACTGAATGAAGAATTGTGTCAACACAATTTTTTTTTTGCAGCAAACTTGGAGATCAATAATAAAATATCTTCATATTTAAACCGTTTGATTCAAAATACCTTTAAAGTAATTTCAGGCACACATTTAATGTAGAAACAAAACATGTTTTAACCCTCCCACTGTCCTGGGGTGAGGAGTGAGCACCACCTCACCCCTGCCACGTCAACATCAAGGGATAAACCATCAATCCTGCTCAATGGTCAACTTTCCTTGCGGAGTCACCCATAAAGACAGTGGGAGGGTTAAAATTGTAGCGTCACGGAGTTAATCTCTACAAAATGTTATATTTTTTATATAGATACCATACCAGTTTACTTAGAAAGCACATTTAAAAATAGCATGGCAGATAACCAAAGTGCTGTCCAACAAAGACAGCATAGGAGTAAATATAAAGCTAAAACATGTACCACACATAAAAGCAAGGCATAACATTACAATAAAAGTTAACTAATCATAAAACAAGTAAAAGTACTAGGATAAGAGACAAAAGAGAAACATGTAAAAACTAACTGAGCAATGTTAGTGAGCTAAAAAGTACAGAAGAATGTCACAAGGTGTCGCTAATAGAGAAGCGTCACACTGAAGTATGAAGGCAATCATGTGGGAAAAGCCAGGCTAAAATAGTGTGTTTTGAGGGCAGACTTAAACCTACAAAAGGAAGGTGTCTGATGCACATGGCGGGGCAGAGAGTTCCGGAGTTTGGGGGCAGCGTGTGAGAAGGCACGCTCACCCCGAGATTTATAGAGACCCTTCGGAACAGTCAGCAGCAGCTGATCAGCTGAACAATGGGCACAAGTGGGTGTGTAGAAACGCAGCAGGTCGGCCGGGTACGAAGGTGATGGGCAGTTCAAAGCCTTGTACACAAACAGCAGGATTTTGAATTGAATTCTAAATTTGACCGGGAGCCAGTGTAAATCTGCATGAACTGGAGAGATGTTTGTGCATCTGTTGGTGTTTGTTAAGAATCTGGCAGCAGCATTTTGAACTGTCAGTAGTCTGCCCAAGGCAGAAGCCCTAACCCCAATCAGGACCGCATTTGCATATCTAGACAGGAGGTAATGAACGCATGGATGACTGACTCGAGATGTGGGCGTTTGAGAATGGGCTTAAGGCGAGTGATCAGGCAAAGCTGGAAAAAGCACGACCTGATGGTTGCGTTGACTTGAGAAGTCAGAGACAGGTTGGAATCTAGTTTCACACCCAAACTAGTGGCACATGATTGGAGACTGAGGGCAAGTAGGGTTGACACAGCTGAAATACTACTGGCGTTTGTAGTGATCAAAAGGATGGCCTCTGTCTTGCTGTCATTTAAGCACAGGTAGTTAGAGGATAGCCAGGTTTTGATGTCAGACAGGCAGTCTGTCAGAGCAGAGATTGATTGATGCTGACTGAGTTTTAAGTAAATTTGACAATCATCTGGGTAGAAGTGGTAGTTGACCCTGCGACTGGCTAGAATCTTGCTGAGGGGAAGCATGTATATAGAAAAAAGGAGTGGATCCAGGATAGAGCCCTGAGGGACTCCCCATGGGAGGCAGGCATTAGGGGAGGAACAGTCACCAATGAGGACGCTAAAACACCAATCAGTGAGGTACGATTTAAACCAGATGCTACGTTTTATTTTACAGTGTGGTTATTGTGAGTTCAACTGAACTTAATATAAATTAGACAAAAAAAGGAAAACTGGTATTTCCTTGCAGGTTCTTGCAGAAGCACAGAACCGCAAATTTCTGAAGCATAAAGGGGGAATCCAGAAACACTCAGTTTAAATCTGGGGTTTGGGGGCTGAACACAAGATCTGCATCAGCCTTACTGATGATGAGGAATCTGAGGGAGAGGAGCAGGCTGAGACTTTCGCATCTCTAACACTAGCCAACACAGAAGGCCAAAACAGAGAGATGCAGCCTCTGCTCTGCAAAAAATACCACAGGACAGGAATAATCTTTTGCAAATGTGGGAAACACTTTCAGATCCCACACATGTGAGCTACCACCTTAAACAACTACCCCTTTTATTGTTGAAATAAAATCAGTTCCTGTAGGTGTCAGTTATGAGTGGGTGAAGGTGGCACAGAAGTTACGTGCTCGCCCCGTAATTGGAAGGTTGCAGGTTTGAACCCCGCTCAGTCTGTTGCTGTCATTGTGTCGTTGGGCAAGACTCTTTACCACGTTGCCTGCGAGTGGTGTTCAGAGGGACCGGTGGCGCCTGTGCTCGGCAGCCTCGTCTCTGTCAGTGCGCCCCAGGGCAGCTGTAGCTTCATCGTAGCTTATCCGCACCAGCGTGTGAATGTGTGTGTGTGAATGGGAGAATGACTGATTCACACAAAACTGTGTTGAAAAACTAATTTCAACACACAAACTTATTATACATATTTAATCACGTAAATGTGTATTTCATGTAAATTTGTACATACATCAATCTGATTCCATTTTACTTGTTACACTTCTGCTGCAGCAAACAAATTTCCCAGCTTTTGGGACAATTAAACATTTCTGATTCTCAATTAGATGTTTTTACTTCAAATGTAAAAACATCTGATTGAGAATCAGAAATGTTTTATTGTCCCAAAAACTGGGAAATATGACATTTGTAAGAGGATACTGATGACATTATTTCCTATGAAAGTGTTTCCTATGTACTTATCTGTTGTTTTTTTTATTTATCTACTTTAAAGAGGATTAAGACTTTCCTTGAGGAACACCATGACACAGGATGGGCTGAATGCTCTTGCCATGCTCTCCATGGAAAAAAAAGCTTGTCACAAACATTCCTGACTTCAATAAAAAGCTAATCGAGAGCTTTGCCACTCAGAAGGACAGAAGGGCAAAATTTCTGTACAAATGAGGTATCACACACACACACACAAATGCATCCACTTGATCTTTGTATAAAGTTGACCTTGGCACAACACTCCAGAAATATTTAACAGTGTAAATTTCTGGCATTTTGTCTAAGTGGTGTTTACTACCATTACTGTAACAGTGACCTGCTCATAATTTTTCGTGTTCACTCAAATGTTGAAATTAAACAAAATGTTTTTGTTACTTGCCTCTTGCATTGCCTATTTACCATTTATGGTCATGTTATTTTATGTGCAATTTAATGCAGTATTTTTCAACCTTGGTCCGCAAGGCAGCGTGCCAATAGTCAGACACACCTGGATTAATCAGTTTGTCCAATGATGTAAGACAGGAAATAAGAGCTGTGCTTAATTCAGGAAATAGTGAAGTTGTGCACAAAGCTCAGAAAGCACAAGTTTGTTTAAAAATAAAAAATAGCACAGCCCCACCAAAAATATTTTTCACCAGCCGCCACTGTGTTGGATGCATATTGTTTTTAATGGAAAAACAACAAAGGAGCATGCAATGGATCATCATAGGCTAAACTTTTCCCAAGTTACCACAAGGACCAATTTGGTATGGCACCCCAAAATGGTCTCTGGCCCCCCGTGGCATTTTTCTGGGCACACCACTGGTTATGAGCTCATATCATACAAATGCATCTATTAATCTGTATAACATTTAACTCTAATAGTGAGAATGCCTTTTTTTTCTTCAACGTCTTCTGCTCTAAATGTTCTCACCTGCAGTCAGAACCCCATATCCAGACCGACACTCGCTGTGACGCACGCACATGTCTGACTTGTGCTCGTAGTAGAAGCCCTGTTTGCACTCGCACTGACAATCGCTCTTGGCCGAGCATTCCTTCTTCACCACCTGGTTCCGTCCACACACTCCGCAGCGTAAACACTTCCCGATGTAGTTCCAGAGCTCCGTGAACGAGCCCTGCGGGCACGGTGCGCACTCAGTGCTTTTGGCCGTGGAGCAGCGCGCGCTCAGGAAGGTTCCGGGTGGACACCGGTCGCACTGCAGCGACCTACCGGTGAACGGGTCCCGGTGCGTGAAGGTGGAAGGAGAAGCCAAGCTGCTCAGCAGCGAGGAGAGAGCTGACAGCAACAGGAAGACATGAGAAAATGGTGCAAAGTCCTAAAAATGACAAGAGGAGAAATACTATAAAAACAAATAAATACAAAGAGTTATTAAAACATGATTGTAATTATAAGATATGGAGGGAAGGGGAATATAGTTCACCCAGAGCTCTCCATCAGCTCCTCTGTCTCCACCTACCATGGTGAAATGATGCGTAGCAGTCATTCAGGAGGGTGATCCTGTCCGTCTCACTGCTGTATTTATAACAACGCTCCAACGCGTATGCAAATGTTTCAACCAGTTCCCCTTTCTGTTTTTGCTGATTTATGGAACCACATCGGCTGGTCACTGCTCCAGTTAAATATGTATGAGATGTTTTTGTGATATTTATGAAAGATTAAATGTTGTAAGAAACACAAAAGTTGACTTTGGGAGGAAGAAAACATTTATTTAAAAAAATCTTTGTTTCCCAGGAACAAGTGTGTGCATCTATACCGCGATGAAGTTAGCTTGAAGTTGGAAGTTGGATATTCGACAGAGAATGGTTAACTGCGGTCAGCGATAAGTCTTCATGCCATGCGCTGCGCCACAGCTGGGTTCCGAATACTCGTTAATGGAAACGGTGGTTAGCTTAGGGACTATCAACTAATTTGTAGTGTTTTGTAAACGACTACAAAAAAATTAAAAGCTTCTGGAATAATTGTCACAATAATGTCATGTTATAAAAACTGCTCTGTCTCATTGGTCTGGCTTAGTAACATCATTGAGAAATGGTTTTGGGTATTTTGACTAATTTACAGCTCATGTCAAGATGTAAAATTATGAATTCAGTCGAGGAAGTGTCATGGTCTGTGGCATCTTATCTCATGTGTCTCCTTTTGTCCTCCATTTGCTCTCTAGGTGCTCCTTTTGTGTCCTCTAGCGCCCTCATGTGTCATGTCTGCATCTCTATATGGTGTCTTCTGTTTGTAGACCTTTTTATCATCCCCTCAGGTCCAGTGTTCATTTAGTTATCCTCTGTGCCCCAAGTTGCAGCTCCAGCCTCTTTGTCCCCAGCTGTGTGTGGGTGTGTGTCCATTCCCCAGTTCATTGTGTGTGTGTGTGTGTGTGTGTGTGTGTGTGTGTCCATTCCCCAGTTCAATGTGTGTGTGTGTGTGTGTGTGTGTGTGTGAGTGTGTGTGTGTGTGTGTGTGTGTGTGTGTGTGTGTGTGTGTGCTTGTCCATTCCCCATTCCTGTTTATGTTAGTGCATTTGTGTCTGTGTGATGGTGTGTGTGTGTGTGTGTGTGTGTGTCCATTCCCCAGTTCAATGTGTGTGTGTGTGTGTGTGTGTGTGTGTGTGAGTGTGTGTGTGTGTGTGTGTGTGTGTGTGTGTGTGTGTGTGTGTGTGTGTGTGTGTGTGTGCTTGTCCATTCCCCATTCCTGTTTATGTTAGTGCATTTGTGTCTGTGTGATGGTGTGTGTGTGTGTGTGTGTGTGTGTCCATTCCCCAGTTCAATGTGTGTGTGTGTGTGTGTGTGTGTGTGTGTGTGAGTGTGTGTGTGTGTGTGTGTGTGTGTGTGTGTGTGTGTGTGTGTGTGTGTGTGTGTGTGTGCTTGTCCATTCCCCATTCCTGTTTATGTTAGTGCATTTGTGTCTGTGTGATGGTGTGTGTGTGTGTGTGTGTGTGTGAATTCTTCCCGCAGCCTTTAGGTTTAGTTTGCCCTCCTCAGTTTCTGTTTGCCCATTTTGATTATTAGGTTCACCCGTCTTCCCTCCAGCCCTCACTTCACACACCTGCTGCCATTTTCCCTAATCACTTCTCCATGTGTATATAAGCTCTGTCTTGTCTGTGTCTGGTGTTGGTTCATTGTTGTATGTTGTCAGCGTTGCGCATGCTCTGTGTGAGCTTTTGCCTTCAGGTCTTCGTGCTCTTGGTTGAGCTTTGTCTCCAGGGTTTTGTGCTCTAAGAAGAGCTTTGGGTGTTCCTGTTCCCCAGGACTTATTGGACTTTGGCTCGCTGCCTTTGATTACTTTTTGTTCTTTATCCTCCAAATAAAAGGATTTTTACTTTGAATCTACTTCTGCCTCTTGTCATCTGGGTATCTGCATATTTGGGTCCTAAACATCCTCAGAACGCGACAGGAAGAAGGAGATGAGGCAAACAGAGTGAGTGTGAGAAACCAGACTGGTGTGGGGGTGAGCAAAACGGCTGGAAAAGTGTGGCTGTTGAACGATCTCAATAAGAAAAGTGTGGGTGTTGAATTCCCCACATCCCCCATGGGTGCGATGCCCATGCATGCCTGCTCATATTTCCTGGTATTTTCTGTCTTAGTTGTGCCTGACACGCTCTGCTGCTGTGGAGCTCATCATCCATGCTCCGGTGACTTCACCTCATTGGTGCGGCCACTTGCAAGATAATCTTATCAGATAATCTTACCTTGTGTGGTGTCTTACGAGCACTTTGGTCCACTCGAAAGGACGTTGACTGCTTAAACCATAAATCTAGGCTTTCAAATGTATATTGGATTGTCTTTGTCTCATTTGGGGGGGAACAAACATGCTGCTTGTAGAATGGGATGTGCAGCTGATCAGATATCGAGATGATGGAAGAGGTGTCATGGTCCGCGTCTGTCCTTCCCTTCTTGTGTCTCCTGATATTTCTCCACCCTCTCTAGATTCCCTTCTGTGTCTCATAGCGCCCTCATGTGTCCTTTGTCTGCGTCTCTATTATGTGTCTTCTGTTTGTAGGCCTTCTTATCATTCCCTCAGGACCGGTGTTCATTTAGTTATCCTCTGCCCCTCCAGTTGTAGCTCCAGCCTCTTGTTCCCCAGCTTAGTGTATGTGTGTAGTGTGTGTATGTGTGTGTGAGTTATTTGTGTCAGTGTGTGTGTGTGTGCATGTCCTGCCCCAGTTCATTGTATGTGTGTATGTGTTTGTGTGAGTCCTTCCCTCAGGCCTAATCCACACGTAGCCGTCTTTTTTATCAACGAATATCCGCCCCTCCAAAAACTTGCATCCACACCACCTCGTTTAAAAAAAACTGTCCACACGTACCCGGATAAATACGTTGTTAAGGACATGCCAGACCTGTAGGCGGCAGTACTTCCCCCGTTCTTAACCTCGTCCTTCGTCTGTGGTCTTCCACAAGGAGCAGTAATTCCGCTTGCAAAAACAAACAAGCAAAAAGCGCTTGGACAATTGATAAAGCGAGCGCAGCTCTGAGGGCTTCCATGATGTCGGCTAGTGTAAACACAGGTCGCACACGTGATGTCAGCATTTTTTTTCGTCGCGGAAAGTGACGTTGCGGACCTTAAAACTCCGGTTTTGTCTGTCCACACGCAGACACCCAAAACGGAGAAAACGCAGATCTTCACTTTGGCCGGAGTTTTTAAAAAGATCCGTTTTCGTGTGGATGACAGGCCAAAACGTAAAAAAATTCTACGTTTTCGGAGATCCCCGGTTACGTGTGGACAGGGCCTTAATTAGATATTTGAGTATTTTAGCCTTTGAGTATTTGTTGAAATTTTTGACTTTGGATTTTTGCATTTTTAGTCTCCTGCTGTTGTTTCCAGACAAACCCTCCACTTCCCATCTCTGACTGGCAGAATTCTGGAGAACCGCTACACCCGCTCATCTCTCAGTCCCTCCCTGGCCAATTCCACCTCCAGTAGCCCACCGATACTCACCTGGATCTGCACCATCCTCACGCTCGGCTCCCTCCACCTCCAACTCTGGATCCCTGCTCCTAGAAAGCTTCACCGACCCAGACCGGACCAACTTCCACCCTCGAGCTATTTCCCCTCTCAGACTGTAAGTTCTCAAAAGATCACTAAAATCCCCTGTTGTCTTTTTCGAGCTGGATCTAACCTCCATCTGTCTGCAGATCCCGCACCCGACTCCTGTTGAAGATCTCGGCTACATTTATGCTGCTTCCTTGGTTTCTCCATTAATAATACGTTGTTTAAAACTTTCTCCGTAGTCTGCGAACTGATTCTGTAGGTCATGGGTTTGACACTTGCCTCACAACATGAGACAAAACTTCTCTGACATAGCTAGCAGGTTCAATTTTAGCATGAAAGAAGTATCCTGTGTCCGAATGCAGCCATACTAAAAAGTGGGGGCAGGCTGGTGTAACGACAGCGGAGGTCAGGGGCATCATTCATAAGATTGCATATGTAGCTCTGATTGGTCTGGTTTTTCACCAGATGTCCTGGTTTCCTCACAACTGACAAATAATGTACCAAAAGGATCAATTTTCACCTGTTGACCAACATCATCTACAGCATAAATCCACTTTCTTTGTGGCCTTCTAAATCCAGAAGGTTGTGCTCAGTGCGTGTTGACTTTCCATTAAGACAAAACACACAAATATTCTCACCCAAGGTTCTTACGCTCACCGTGAACGCCAGATGTCAACATCCTCCACTCTGAATAAGTGAAGACTCCACCATGTTATAGTTATGAGTTAAATAATATGTGATGAATGAGCAAGATGTTTAAATAATCTGTGCTTAAATCAATGAATTTGAAATGAATATTCTTACAATGATCCATTTTTATCACAAAACACTGTTTTTAACAAGTTAATCATTGTTTACACTTCTACACATTACAATAAGACACATTAAGGTTAAAAACAGTTTTGTATCTGAAGGAAGGCGTGGCTTTCTGAGGGATGTTGGTAAATACTCAAAAACGTGTCAAATTCTGATTTGCCAAACTTGGCCAGAAATCATAACAAAGTAGTTTAATAAAACAATGATTACTTCCAGAGTGACTCAGTTTCCAGCTGACCCGATTCGGCCAAATCGAGAAAGACGCCTCTTTTTGAAACAATCTCTTTTGACCTCAAAACCTTTCTGCGATGCTGCAAGTGATTACAGACACAACAGCTCTTTTCAGAGCTACTTCACACCTGAGACACCAAATCTGCAGACCCCGGGTTGCATCTCATGGCGGGCGAAGCCAAACTCAGAGGAAGCTACTAATCTCTGAGTATTGTGGTTTCAACGTCTGGTGACCTCACCACTCTGACCACAACCCTCCAGACCGCCGGGAGCAACTCATACCAGGGTATCGTAAGCCTGCATACTGGCGTCTGATGAGTTTTTTTTATCAATAAACAACTCTAGTTTAAAACAAACAAATGATTTTACACCCAGGTTTCACAATTTCTCTCAGATACAAAGAGCGGTTGCTACAACATCTAGCTTCTGTTGTGTGGTGGGGTGAGTACTCCTTCATCTCTAGAACATCTTTGAGTTCTTCATTTCAGGAGAGGGAGCTCACCAGCAGGCATTAGTAATCAGCGGCAGCTGCAGCTCCTCAGGTCATCCGCAGCAGAGCTCTGTTTAAGAGGAGAGGGAACTACTACACTTCGCTGGATGATTAGCTACTCACGGTAGTATCTGGCCTCGTTCTAGGATAATACTCGGTTTCTACTCTGATAATTTGCTGTTACAGTTATTGGAGATTTTTGGATAATTCCTGGATTCTTGTGTTGGATTTTTTTGGACTCAAGTTTGTATTTCTCTCCAGGATTCCTGGACAACCTTCCCTGACGCTCTGGGTTTGTTGGATCTGATCCTCCATCCGAGAAGCGGAACCAGTACTGCATTACTCACCTGGAAAGAACCATCAATCAATCAATCAATCAATCAATCAATCAATCAATCAATCAATCAATCAAAGCTTTATTTATAAAGCGCTTTCCGCAACCCCAAAGCGCTGAACATTGTACAGTTGTATGTAAATATATTGAATAAATCAACAATAAAAGAAATACAAATTACAAAATACAAAATGGAAATTACAAGATAGATGAAACATTTTGGTAAAGGACAAATGTGTGAAACACAATTGGATTGAGTGGATGGATTGAGTGTACCAATGAAAACTGTGAAATAAATTCAACATAATAGAGGGCCAAAATCAAACATGTTCTGGAAACGCCAAGCGGAGGAGGTGTGTTTTTAGGTGATTCTTAAAGACTGGCAGAGAAGGGGACAGCCTAACTGAGGGTGGCAACTGGTTCCAGAGTAACGGTGCTAGGACTGAGAAAGCCCGGTCCCCACGGGTACGACACCTAGACCGAGGGACAGCGAGCAGGCCTTGGTCAGAGGAGCGCAGAGCGCGTGATGGGGAATGTTTGTTCAGGAGAGTGGCCAGATAGGGGGGACCACCACCCTGGAAGAAATGATAAACAAAGACGAGTATTTTGAATTGTGAGCGATAGGAAATCGGAAGCCAGTGCAGAGAGGCCAGAACCGGACTGATCTGGTCCCAGTCAGGAACCTGGTAGCGCTGTTCTGCACAACCTGTAGGCGACGCAGTGTTGACTGACACAACCCTGCATAGAGAGAGTTGCAGTAGTCAAGCCGAGAAATAACAAAGGCATGCAGTACCCGCTCCAGGTGGGCTCTCGACAGCATATGCTTGATTTTAGCAAGGCGTCTCAGGTGAAAGAAACTGGACCGGATCACAGAATTGATGTGAGCATCAAATTTAAGTCCTACATCAAGTTTCACCCCCAAACTGGTAACAACTGGTTTTGAGTATGGAGAAAGAGGGCCAAGATCAGCATAACAATCCACATTCCTGTTGTTGGGGTGAAAAACAATGAGCTCTGTCTTTCCCTCATTCAAATGTAGATAGTTGGACATTAGCCAAGACTTCACCTCATTGACACAGGAGACAAAGGACTGAATAGAGTGACCTTTCTCCTGACACAATGGAGAGTAAATCTGGCAATCGTCCATAACCTTCCTGGACTTCACGGTTCGCCTCTCCTCTTATTCCTCTGCCACCCCGCCTGGCTCTCTCTCCTGGACTCACTCCTTCACCCCACCTGCCCTCCTCGACCTCCTCCACCTGCAGAACTTTGGACTCTCTCTGTCTCCAGCTAATCTGGGACTATTCCAGGGACATTTTTGTTAGATTCCTGCAATAAATCATTGTTTTGAACTTTCCACCCTTTCATGTGATGATTCTTCGTGTCGTGGGTTAAACACATTCCCAGGAACATGACAGTTTCCATCACAACACCTCACATCCACCACACCGCATCCCATTATTCATATCTTGTCATGTATCATTAGTTTAGGAAAAATAATTAAATTAATTTTATAAACTATATACCTGACTCTGTCTGAATTAATACGAAGTGTGTTTATGGTCCCTGAATAATCAAAGAACCCTAGAATCTTCTAATTAAACATTCAAAGATCAGATTGATATTTCATATTTGTATGGAATATCACACCTTATTGGTCATAAACCAGTCCTTTTTAAATTATAACACTTTGTGATAATTCATTCTAAAGTTATTATTCTCTGAGTTTTCCGCTCTGAACCAGAAGGAGCTTCTCTCTCTTTTCCTCTTCCTGTCTGACGGCCAGGGAGGTGCTTATCTTGAAGAGCGCTGACTCTTCACAACCAAGTTTGTGACTTTCATAAGCGTCTGCTGTCAACCTCATTAAACTTTTTTTTCAATCTTTTATTTTCATTTATTGACATTAAAATAAAAATACAGAACTAAATTGCTGCAAGCCAAAATGAAAAAGGGGACAGAAAGAAGAAAAACTTATGTTGTCTGCCCCTTTTAACTAAAATAACATTAATACAAATGAAATAATCATATGATTCTTAATGAAATTGAACAATAAAGTTCCTGGACTTGTTGGCCGACACAATCACAACCCATGAATTTGAGGGAAAAAAAAGAAAACAATTTACACAGAAAGAAGCATTAAGTTATAGATCTATATACATACATATATACACATACGATTACATACTAGGTTTTTTTTCCTTTCATCCCCCCCACCCCCCTCCCCTCACACATTTATGTAACGGATCTATATAAGTTAATCATTTTATTTTTTATCTCTTTTTTGAAAGTCAATATTGTTTTTGCATTCTTGAGTTCAGTATTCAATTTATTCCACAATTTAACTCCATATATGGAGACTGAACTTCTAAAGTTAAAAGTCTTCTTGGTCATAAATAATGTGTATTAATTGCTACACACAGAAGATGTGAATCTGTAAAGCGTGGTTTTGCTGTTGTGGTTGCTCAACAGGATTCAAACACAAAGATTTTTTTGACAGAATTGTAGAGATGAAAAAATTAAAAGTTGCATGTAGTATCTTTGTATAATAATAATAAAAATGTTTACTGCTGATCATATTTATCACTTTATTTGAGCAACAGTCGACTGAGAAAACGATTACGTGTTAAATGAAAAAGTCCTACACCTGCGTATTAAAAAAAAGAACAACTAAAAAAGCTGGTCTAAAACTTTGTCCAGTGTAGCTCATTACTACAAAAATATACGTATCAATCTAAGCAGGAACATATTTGTAAAGGTGGAACATAAAAGTCAACATTTTGAACAAAAATAACAGGAGCTCCACCCATTTCCAACAAAAGACACTATGAGAGGTAGATGGACTGGTGAATGCAACCGTTTACCCTAAAAAAATTCATGTTGGTCGTTTTAGGAACGGATACAAAATCTCTTTGGGATTTTATTCCCAGAAATGATGCCCAAAGCATTTCCTTTTCTTTTTCCTTTCTCCAAATATTCACAGCACTTAAGTCAATCAGTCCTGCCTTTTGATAAGACACGCCCTCAAAAAGATGCTGCCTTGAAGTGATATATTGGCTTTATTACAGAAAATTATATACATATATATATATATATATATATATATATATATATATATATATATATATATATGTAAACGTTCATGCCAGAGACGCCATGACTGAGCAGAACCTAGACATGTGTGAGGGCATGTGCATATTTTGGGTTTATGGGAGGAAACCCCTTTATCGCATGAGGAGCTCATGTAAACTCCATGCAACAAAAGCTCTGAGCCTTTTTAACCTGTGCAGCACTTTCGCCTGATTACTATGAAATGTTGCTTTAAAGGGTTGCATCTTCTTCCCTTCTTCTCCCTGAATTACAGATCCCTAACAGACGTGTGTCAATCTGGTCAAACTTCTTTTGTATTCTCTCCGCGTTGCTGGCGGCGCCACATTTTTCCAGAATATCAGGAAGCAACTTGATCTGCGTTATGGTTGCGGAGGAAACCCAGCTGTTGATCTGTGAGAGAAGCTGTGAGAAGCTGAGCTCCTGTGCTTCTTTTCGGCTTCTGCCACCGTCAGAAGGTAGCTTGTTCACAACTCGGCGCAGCCTTTTGATGTTCATTGTGTGGTGAACGAAGAAACTCGGGATGATTTCTTTGATGCACTCGGCTCCATCTATAGGAACACATCAGAGATAAGTGGTCAGAATGGATGACGCAGACACAAAAACAGATAAACACTGATATTTACTGGAATGTTTGCAGAAGAAAGCTGTAATAATTCAATTCAATTCAATTCAAAAATACTTTATTAATCCCAGAGGGAAATTGATTGCTGTAGTAGCTCAGAATAATAATAATAATCAAGTCATCAAAGAGTTGTTGTATATTACAATGGCTGTTGGTAGGAAGGATCTCCAGTAGCGGTCAGTGTTGAAGCGAAACTGAAGAAGCCTCTGACTGAAGACAATCTTCCGTTGTCGGACAGTCTTGTGAAGAGAACGCTCAGGGTTGTTCATCATTTTCTTGATTCTCTGGAGAATCCTCCTCTGCATTATCTCCTCCAGCGGTTCCGAAACTGCCGAAACTCTGGCTGAGTCCTTGAAAGGGCTTGGAGTTCCTCCATCTTGTTGACCAGTGATCTCACATTGCCCATTATGATCGATTATGATCGATGGAAGAGATGGTTTGAATTTCCTTTCTCTGTCTCCGTTTTGCTCACGCTTCTTGCGTTTTAGCTCATTTGGGATTTGTGGCTTCAGTTGAGGTATTATTTCAGCCTTTCCAGTGTTAATCAGCTGCTACCGATTGTAAACCAGCTTGTTGCCATGGTTACGCATTATAACAAATGCTCAAAAAGTGAAAAAAGCTAAAAAAAATAGCAGTAAAAATCCTCCAAGCTTCACAGCACCAGAAACAGAAAAGTAAAATGTCCAAAAAAATACAGTTTTTCTTGAGAAACTAGAAGAAAAAATGTCCAAGAAAAGGCAAAACTTACATATAGTCAACAGAGCTACTCCAACATGCAGCCACCCAGAGCAACGCAGTTCCAGAATAGTCATTGTTATTAACTTTTACATGATGCACCTCTCTTTTGTTGCAGTTAGTCATAATAATCCAGAGAAGCTGTGGCGTCTGCACATGGGACATTAATGATTGTTACCCTACCTGTTACTGTTACTCCTCCACGGATGTCTCAATGTCATATTGTTATGATTCAGTCGTTTTCGGCTCCCGTCGTGCTTTTCTGCTGCTTTCTCTTTGGCCACGCCCACCCACGTTTCTCCTCCCTTACAGCTTTCTAGCCTTTCTCCCGTGTTTAGTGGTGGACTCATGTAGCATCGAGGCTTTCCAGCTTATTGCTTTGCCCAAAAGCTCATGGAGCTTATAGTGCCCCCTGCTGCTGGAGTTACATCAGTACACTCAAGTACTTTTATTACATAGCAAACACTGGGTAAAACTTACAGTACTCGGTCAATTTATCAACACCACTTGGTGTATTCTTAAACATTAATAAACTATTAAATAAAGTAATAACAGCTTAATAATAATCTTAATATTAGGTAACGCATTACTAAGCAAACATCCCCCTTGGCCCTTTGATTTAGGACACTTAATGGTTAACATCATCAGTAATGTTAATAAAGGGTTCTTTCGTTTATTAATGCTTAATAATGCACTAAGTAAAAGGAACCTTATTGTAAAGTGTTGCCAAACATTGTTAATAAGCCATATATACAACAATGATACAATAAGTGTTTGGTGACTCAGTTGTCCCACATGTCTACTGAGTGTAGACAATGGCGACCAAACATTTCAAGAAAAGGGCCAAAAATGTCAAGGGGCCAAAAAAAATGAGATAATTTTATTATTATTATTATTATTATTATTATTATTATTATTATTATTATATATTTAATGAAATGCAAAAAAATATTTTGTTGTTTTTTCCCCATTTGTACTCATCAAAATGTCAATAAAAAAAACTTTAGTAAAATTCCGAACATTAAAATGTTAGAAAGCTTATATTTACATGGACAGCCTACCGGGGACAAGTACCCTACCCGACGGTTTTCCTGATTTTCCTCATGAATTGAAACCCTCTGTGCTTGTTTTTGTCAGAGTCTCGTTTTGTCATTGTGTCATGTCATTCTGTGTTTAACATGCTGAGATTTGGCCCACAGACCCTGGTTTAACCACTGTCTGAGTCTGTTTGCTGCCTCCACATGACCACAGAGAGGAGCTCTCAGCCTAAAAGTCCATCTGGGCATCAGACACCACTTCCTGTTTTCCTTCCAGCTGTGTTCTCTCCCCATTTCACCCACAAGTTTAACTGGGCTGATCGCATGAAGGTAGACCCTCCCCCCTGTGGCCTTTCATTTTCAGAGGAAATCTGGAAACCACCCTGACAGGGTGAAACTTTATTTATCTGGACTTCCTGGATTTTGGTAATCCCGTTTTGCCTGATTCAGACCAGTCGTCACACGGAGGAGGTGCGTTCCCATTTTCATTAAAAATAAACCCTTTTTTACTGAGTAAGTTTCGGGTCCAGTGATGTTACGCATATGTCACTTTTGCAAACTTGGAAGATGATTATTTTTGAATAGGGGCTAATGGAGTACAGTAAATGTGTAAATTTAAAAAAGCACTATAAATGTCTCCTTCACTTCAAAGATTCACTGCTTTTTTCCTTGTTTCTACAACCTTTAAGGCCAGAACTCTTACCTGTGAGCTCTCCACAGCTTCCACACAAACGGTCGTGCCAGCTGGAGCCCTGCAGCAGCAACAGCTGCCCAGCACCGCTGCAGTTCTTGTGCTGTTTGCACCTCTCATGAGCAGAAGAGACATCAGAGAAGGTTCCATTGGAACAAATGTGGCACACCGTGTCATTCTCTGGTGTACCTGCAAGAGAATAAAAAAATGTCTTTAATAAAATAAAATAAAAACTTTTATTTTTTTCATTTGTAGTTATTGCTGTTTTAATGTAAATGCTACAGTTTGCCTCTCTGGGGCAGCACAGCCCCAGCTGATTCTTAACATCAGCGTGGGGGGAAAACGTTGCTATGGCAACAGTATGCACGTAAAGCAGGAAATAAACAATGATACCACGCGGCCGGGTTTCTGTTTCAGAATGGTAACACAATTAGGTCAGTCTCTCACACACACGCACACACTGTAGTTCTAATGGCCACACATCAAGTGCTATAAGTTCCGTACCTGGTGTCAGAACCCCAGATCCGGACGGACACTCGCTGTGACGCACGCACATGTCTACGTCATGGCTGTAGTAGTAGCCCCGTTTGCACTCGCACTGACAGTCGCTCTTGGCCGTGCATTCCTTCTTCACCACCTGGTTCCGTCCACACACTCCGCAGCGTAAACACCTGCCAACGTAGTTCCAGAGCTCCGTGAAGGAGCCCTGCGGACACGGTGCGCACTCGCTGCTTTTGGCCGTGGAGCAGCGCGCGCGCAGGAAGGTTCCAGGTGGACACCGGTCGCACTGCAGCGACCTACCGGTGAACGGGTCCCGGTGCGTGAAGGTTAGAGGGTAGACCACGTTGAGGACTGCTGACAGCAGCGCGATTGGAAGAAGGCTTGGTAAAAAATGCCAGAAGTGGCCCTGGAAAAGGAGAGAAAACAAGTCAGGACGGAATAACAAACTCTCGCTGCTGCGTCTGTCTCCTCCAGCGTCCACAGCCGTCTGCTCCAGTCTCCACCTACCATTGTGAGCAAGCAGGATCCGTCAGAGGGTGGTACTTTCACTCAAAACGTACAGGAGTGTATATATACATACAAGGTTGGATGACGTCACTGGTGATTAATGTCATCGATTTTCAGCGTCTGTGAAGCAGCTGATCATGTTTACCGGTTTTTCAAGTTTTACCAATTTTTCCAAACAACTTTTTTATTTCTTCATTTATTTTTCATTCTTACATCACATTTTACAACAAATATTTAACCATCATTGCATAAAAGATCATTGTAGCCAACCACGCAGCTGCCAAATTAGGATTTACTACATTAAATCATGATTTAATATGCTTGTACTTGGCATTTTCTGTAGTATTTCTGTGTTGGTTTTGTATATTTTTTTCCCTGTAGAATTTTGTAGTTTTCATAGTGTTTATGTAGTTTTGTAGGGTTTTTGTGGTGTTAGCAATATTTTGCAGGGCTTCATAATATTTTTGTCATGTTTGGGTGGAGTTTCCTGACCCAGGACATACAGAATCAAGCCTAGAGCCTCAGGCAAGAATGTAAAAGATGTTTATTAATATCACAAATAAAGAAACCAAAGACACGCTGCAACGTGCGGCAGAAGAGCAGCTCTGGACTCAGGAAGGTTTGATCCCTTGTTGCAGTCAAGAGTTTGAGGAGGGGTCTGGTCTGCAGGAGGTGGCGGGCTCAAGAGGTTCCAGGACTCAAAGCTGGGTTGCAAGGGGGCAGGTGAGCAGTGGAGAGCAGACGGTCGAGCTGGAGGGGGGGAACATGGTTCCAAAAGGTGAGGATGGTCTGTGGTTGAGGTGGTAATGGACGATTTAACCTAGAGGCAGAGTAACCAAAACCACTAGACTGAAACCTTGAGACAAGCAAACTAGAACTACTCAAGAGAGTTAGCTGGCACGTGATGCCGAGCCTGCGCTTCTACCAAAGCGATTAATCGTCTGGCTCCTTAAGAAGGCTGACGGTTCTGTTCTAAATTCGCAAACAAGTACAAGAGTAAGTAAATAAATAAATCCTCTCACGCAGAGATTAATTCATAAAGAGCTGCCGGTTGTTGAGATAGAAAGTGAACAAAATAAAATCCTGGCAGGACATCTAGCTGATACTACTGCTGCGGGTTGGCTCGGGTCAGAACCACCTGACACTTTTAACTCAACATTCAGATGCGTGTTAATCTCTGATTCGGACCTATAAATAACTGTGAAACAAATAAGACATTTAAGAACTGTCTTAATCATGGTCAACAAAGAAACTCTACCCAAGTCCATTATGATTAGATTATTTAGAAAATTTGGGGATTTATAAAAAAAATAAGGAGTGGGAGTTTAATCCGTTAATTGGGATAAATCATTTAGAAATGAATAACACATAAAAATGTATCCCTGTGAGCCTGAGTGCCCCCAAATTGGGGGTCAGAAAAGTTTAGCATCACAATTTATGCCCAACTTATCAATACGTATCATCAAGCTGCACCTCTAACAAGGCTGCAGAGCCTGGGCTATGAGCACATTGAACCTTTTTTATGAAATTAATGTTTTTTTTAAACATTCATGATATTTAGGGGCTCTAATGAACTAACTAAATAAATAATGATCTAAATATAGCTGGCTGGCAGAACTGATGATCTATGTATTAGTAAGTCATAGACTCAGGGCTGTGAAATGAGATCACTGCTTAGCTGACTGTAAGGGGAACAATGGAGGGAGATCCAGTTTTTGGTTTCAGCATCCTGAGGAATGATGTGTTTAAGCATCACCAGGTTATCTCGTTAAAGGGAAAATAATCCGGTTTAAGCAGAACTCCTTTTATTCATGAGAAATATATTTAGAAACTAGAACGCATTTGTAACTTCTACAGTACAAAACAAATAAAGGTAAACATGCCTCAGCTTAGGCAAGTCAAGACAGATACTGACTCGTTAGACTGGAAACACTTTCTTCTGCAAGTGCAGTAAGTTGTGTCTTTTATATTCAACATCTATTTGACTAGACGGGTTTGTTGACTTGTTTTCCCTGTTGTTGGATTTATTCTAACATAGTCCCACAAACTCTCACTGATAAAACACAGGCGTGTGCTTCTTTAAACATTCCTACACAGTAGGCAGCAGGGAATATTTAAGATCCAGATGATTCGCAGATGCAGTTTGTTTCACCATCTTTGATTTGTGAAATGATGTTTTTGAACAAAATCCGGGGGAACAAGTTGGTTTGACTGGAATAACAGTGACACATTCCTATTGGGTGAGCTTTTGGGTTTCATTGGGAATGGAATTCCCGATTCAGCTCTCATGAAGGATCACCCCTGGTATGAGCTCACCTGGCCTTGTTCCAGCCTGCTTTAAAACATCTAGTTTATAAAAATATCCACCCATCCATTTTCCTCCACGTATCTAGGGTTGGGTCATGGGGGCAGCAGCCGAAGCAGAGTCCAAGACTTCCTTCTCCTCAGCCACATGGACCAGCTCTTCTTGGGCAATCCCGTGGGAATCCCTGATTAGACTTGCCAGGAAACCTCAGGAGGCGTCTTAACAAGATTCCCAAGCCACTGCGATCGCTACCCAAAGCTCGTGATCATAGGGGAGGGTTGGAAAGTAGATGAACCGGTAAATTGAGAGCTTTGCATTCCGGCTCAGCGAACTTTTCACCACGACAGACCTGTACAACACACCAACCCACCCACTGATCCCCTGCTTCATCTTTCCCTCACTTACAAAACCTCTAGACATTCAAATTCCTCCACTTGGGACAAGACCTCGTCCTGACCCACAGAAGGCATTCTACTCGGTTTGGACACAAGGCCATGGCCTCAGATTAAAAGGAGCTGATTCTTAGTTTATAACAATATTTACAATACTTTTCTTCTTAGTTGCTTGAATTTTCTGCAGTGGAACGTCGTCGTTCATATAAATGACATTTTGCCAAAGGTGATGTTTACTATGTTCTTGTGAAAGAACGGGTCAACCATCACTCACATTATTTTCAGTATTATAGAAAATTTTGAATATGTGTCAAAGTATCACTGAATAATTACGAATAGGATGCTAGTGACGTTGCTTTAATGCTTTTATGAATTTTGTTTGTATAAACAATGCACATGACTACAAATGGTATCTAATGTGACAGAGGGACTGAATCATGACAAGGAAAACTTGTTCAGGGGAGAACCCAAGAATTAACCAAACTAGTTTGAACCTGCCCTAAGTCTAGATGTCATGTTGTGGTGTAGAAATCTAACCCACGACATAAAGAATCAGCATAGAGACGGGGGTAAAGTGTTTAAATAAGAATTTATTAAAAGGGAAACCAAGGAAGCAGCATAAACAAAGCTGAGTTCTTTCACCAGGGAGTTGGTGCGGGAGATCTGTGGACAGATGGGAGTTAGATCCAACTCGAGGAGGGAATAAGGAATCTGAGTTGGGCGGAGGACTTACAGTCTGGAGAGGAGGAAACTAGCTTGAGGGAGGAGTGGTCCGGTCTGAGCTGAGGGCGTTTTCCTGGGACTGAGATCCAAAAGGTGAGACGTGGAGGAAGCTGAGTTTGTGGAGATCCAGGGAGCTTAGGTGGGCAGCTGGAGGGGTTCTGGCCAGGGAGCGGCTGAGAGACAAGCAGGTTGGAGTTCCAGATGATAGGAGTTCCAGAGTTCAGCCAGTAAGAGATGAAGGTGGAGGTTTTATCTGGTGAACAAGAGCAGGAAGGGTAAATGCAAAATCCAAACTCCAAAACACATCTAAAAATCTCAAAAGGTCCAAAAGGCTCGACTATAGTACTGAGAGGTGGCTTAGAAGGTACCCAGGTAGAGTAATCATCCAGCGAAGTGTAGAAGTCTCTCAGCTGCTTAAATACACCTGGCCGGCTGATGAGCAGATCTGCTGCAGCTTGGTTAACCTCCAGACACGCCCACCTGCAGAGGGAAAACTCGAGAGACAGGGAGTGACCGCAGGAATGCACCTCAGACCGTGACACTAGAGTTGACCGTGAGCTCTAAAAGGATCATTTGAGATGGTTAGTAGGGGAAAACTTTGATGGAGCAATTAAAATCTTGAAGTTGACTTTAAAGAAAATGTGAAATAAATATTTCATTTGGTTAATCACTCCGGTTCTTCAATCTCTACATTGGTTACCATTACCACACCATACCATACCATACCACACCATACCATACCACACCATACCATACCACACCATACCATACCATACCATACCATACCATACCATACCACACCATACCATACCATACCACACCATACCATACCATACCACACCATACCATACCACACCATACCATACCATACCACACCATACCATACCATACCACACCATACCATACCACACCATACCACACCATACCATACCATACCACTTTATTTATATAGTACATTTAAAATACAGCATAAGAGCTGACCAGTCAGTTCTGCACAGGCAAGTTCATAAAAAAAGAAAGTAAAACATCAATGGAAAGCATTAAAAGCAGCAAAAATAATAAGAACAATAAAAAGACTATAAAAACAATAAAGGAGCCACTGGCTAAAGGCCAAGCCATAAAAGTAGGTCTTTGAACGAGATTTAAAAACAGCCAGAGAGGATGCTTGCCTTACTGTAATGGGACGTGAATTCCAGAGCATGGGGGTAGCATAGACAAATGCTCGTTCACCCCGTGATTTGTAGGACATCCAGGGAGGGCAAAGTAGCAGGAGATCAGCTGACCTCAATGTGTGCATGGGTACTAGGGGGTGAGCAGGTCAGAAAGATATGGAGGTGTTAAATCATGTAAGGTTTTAAACACAAAAGTCAATAACTTCAACTGTACATGGAAGGTAACTGGGAGCGCTGAGATCTTTAAGAAACAGTCAGCTTGTAGAACTCCGGGTCAGAACCAAACAGGTTGAAGTTGCTTTTTAGCCACTATGCTGCACACAGATGGAATCAGCTTCCCAATCACCTCAAATCTGCACCAACTCTATTAACCTTTACATCAAAATTGAAAGCTTCCATGTGCTCATCAGTCTTTAAATGACTGTTTCTTCTGTAGCTGCTCACCCTTTTTTATTCTTAAATCTGAAATGAATTTGTGTGTATTTGAATTGTGCTGTCATGTTGATTTTAATGATCATGCAACTCTTGCTAATGGAAAGCACATTGAATTGCCTCGGTGTATCAAATGTGCTATATAAATAAAGCTGCCTAAATTTTTCTAGTACCGGGTTGGACCTTCATTTTGCCTTCAGTAGTGCCTTATTTAGCCATTCCTCAGAGGTTCTGGTCCATGTTGACAATAATGTGAGTATCTCATTCCACTGCATCCCAAATGTTCTGAACTGGATTGAGATCTGTTGACTGTGGAGGCCGTTGGAGTCTGGCGAACTCAATGTCATGTTCAAGACACTGGTGTGAGGTGTTTTGAGCTTTGCTGCTTGGTACATTGTCCTGATGGAAGAAGGCATTGGATGGGTCCGTTGTGGTCACAAAGAGATGAACGCATGTTTAAACAATGCTTGGTAGGTGGTTAGGGGCCCAAACTGGCCCACAAGAAAGTCCCCCACACCACCAACAACCAGTCTGAGCCATTAATACCAAGCTGGGGGAGTAAAACAAACCAAAAACTCTTTTTTATGGTGTTAATATGTGGGAGTCAGGCCATCACTGTCAGTTGGTACCATCATCTGAAACATCAAATAAAGGAGAAAGAGTAACTGACTGAAATAGTAATTTTATGACATGGTTTTAGGAGTCACCTGTGGCTGGCTTTACAAAGAGGTTTTCCAGGAAAAAAGAGGGGAAAATAGTAGAAATTCCCAAAATGAGTGAGTAAAAGAAAGAAAACAGGCTAATAAAGACCCACTGGGTTACTTCTACGAATGTGTCCCTGCTCACATACTGTAGATAGATTATTTTTGTAACCAAGGGAAAGAAACAAAAAATATTTTTGCTGATGACAAGACGAGTCTTACTCTTCCACTGAACTCCATTTCTTACAGATGTGATTATGTTCCATAACCAGCATTGAGTGTTATTTCTGATGTGTCTTCCCCGCTGAGTCAAAAGTCCCAAAACATTTGTTTAGAAGTCACATCAAGACCTTTAAAATTGCCTCATGGACATTTTAGAAGTTTTGACTAATAATATCAAAGAATATTGCAATTAACCACTGAATGATTTTATCAAGAACAATGCAAAACCTTCTATCACAACATAAAATAGTTTTTATTGCAAATTTTACCCAAAGACTAAATGCTACACTGTAAAAAAAAGAGCATGTAGAACTTACTGTATGAGGTCACAAGGTTAATTACCACTTTTTATTTATTTAAAATACATATATCAACACGGGATGCACAGTGTAGCAGTGGTTGGCGCAGTAACAAGGTCCTGAGTTCACATACCAACTCGGGGTCTTTCTGCAAGGAGTTTGCATGTTCTCTCTCATGTTCTCTCTGTGGGTTCTCTCCGGTACTTCGGCTTCCTCCCACAGTACCCAAAAATTATGACCGTCAGGCTGACTGGCCCCTCTAAATTATCCTTTGGTGTGAGTGTTTGCATGCATAGTTGTTTATCCTGTGTGTCTCTGTGTTGCCCTGCGATGGACTGGCAATCTGTTCAGGGCGTACCCTGCCTGTCTGCCCAGAGATTGCTGGAGATAGGCACCAACCCCTTCGGCGACCCTGCATGGACAAGTGTGTATAGACAATGGATGGATGGATGGATGGACATATATCAACACAAGTAGTGACTTTCTTGACTTATTAATTGAAACCCAAGAGTTGAAGGTTTTGATGCGAGCCAAGGGTTGCAATGCCCTAGCAGCCCCTGTGGTCTATCTACCGCTGCTAGCTGCTGGTGTTTATCTAGCTTTAGAATCCATTTGAAACCCATCTTTGTCTATAAGGCCTTCAATGTGTAGAAAAAAAGACACAAGGCATCGGGCTGCACAAGTCACACGTCGTCAGAGTGAGTAATATCAAAGACTGGACTGTCCCATTTTTCAGGAGATTTATCATTCTTGTCTTGGGGCTTCGGGGGAGTGGGGTACTTTAAATTTGCCTTGCGATGGAAATTTCAGATAAGCTAACTACTCATCATTTATAAACTAAACATTATCAACCATCCATCCATGTGAACCTAGTTTGAGTCACTATGAATCATTGATGATCTTCAGTGGTCAAGAGTTTGAAGAGAGACCCACCCTGGGCGGGATTCAAGTCAACCACAGGACAGGAAACAAGAAAAAAATAATAAACACAGATATCTTCACAGAGAAGCTTGAGCCAGGATTCTCTGGAGGTTTCTTCCTGTTAAAAGGGAGTTTTCCTCTCCACTGTCGCTGCATGCTTGCTTAGTATGAGGATTGCAGTAAAGTCACTGACACTTGCCAGTGACTTGATGCAATTTGCTGGGTTCCTTATATAGGAAACATTATTTCTGATTGGCCTAATGAACTGTCCTGAATTGGAATATTTATTATGTGAAGTGCCTTGAGACGACTCTTGTCGTGATTTGGCGCTGTATATAAAAAAATAAAATAAAAAGAAGAACATGAACTGTATATATGACTGTGTTGGCTGATACTGATTTCACAAACTTGTAATACATCACTTCTATTACTGAAGTCTGGCCTTGACTCAAGTTCGGTCCAAGTACTTTGTTTGCATCAGGTAATCTAGTATACACTCACCTGCAGTACTTTTATTAATAATGAAGATTAAGGGTTTCAACCAGTAAAAACTTGGCTTCTGAAAGACATTTTTAAAGATAAAACAACCAAAACTACAGTTAAAATTTGCAAAAGACACATAAATTCATGTTCCTTTGTGAAGATGTGACACTTCTAATTAGTGGTAGAACATTCGAACCTGTCAGTGAACACTGGACCTCACTAGGCCTTAACCTGGACTGCTTCCTCGTTCACCAAGGAGAAAATCACCATTACCATCACTAAAATAGATTGTAGTGGGTTGTTTTTTTGTAAAAAATGTAATTTTTAAAGGTCAACTTCGCTGAAATAAAAATAAATAATTTCTGATTATCATCGTGTCACTCTGAGTTATTCATGCAGGCTGGACATGAAAATAGTCTCCTACACTGATTTGCTGCATTAACTTAAAATAGAAAGCGTCCAATAGAACGCTTGGATTTGAAAAGCCTGACAGATCTATGTCACAGTGTCACTTAGCACTCATGGACTCACCCATCTTGTGACAGGGAAGGCTGTTGTTGGGTTAGCATCCAGGAAACAACAGAAAACATATCGACTTGCAGAAGCTAACCCTTAGGATTAGCAACTCCACATCCTGGCAGAACTACTCCAGGCGTGTGCTATTTGTGGAGATTAAACATCTACGTTGAAAAGCAAAGTTTTAGAGTTGTGTTGCTGTTAGCCAGTCAGAGGTGAGATGTCCAAATATCACATAATAAGACTCAAAATCCTGTCGTCTGTAGCTAATTTCTCTTCCAGCTGAATTATCTGCCCTAAAACGGGCACTCTGGAGCTTTTCATTCTACTAAAGCCCACTGCGAATGTTGACACAACAAAAACTGTGGTCCCACAGCCTATCTTTCCTGCAAACCTGACCTTAATATCCCTCCCCCAGGTTTTTGGTTCCATTTCCTTATGCATTTCCTTTTAGTCCTTCCAGTCAAATGCAGTAATCAATACGAAGATATTTTTAGAATTTCTGTTTGCACCATGTTTTGTTTCCTGTTCTAGTTTGTTAAATTTATGTTACTTCCTCGTCGGTCTGCCTGCTGAGTGCGAGCCTGGTGAGGCACATTCAAATGATTAATCACTACTCATACAGCTCCTCATTCAGTGTGTTTACATGCAGCCAGTAACCCTTTTAAAACCCGAATATTCGCAATAACCCGGTTCCGCAGGTCCATGTAAACACCGCCAAAAACCCGGATATGCTCATAACCGGGTTTTTAAAAACCCGTTTACTACACCTGGGGTAAACCTTTTCTAACCCGAATGTTTGGTCGTGTAAACGCATATCGGGATATCCCCATCAAAGTGTGTGTTCTGCGCATGCTCTGTTCGCAAGGAATCTTGGTCTTTTGAGTAGCGAGACGTCTTGTATGCGCCAGAACACCGGAAGTAAACAACAAGTTGGGAGCAACATGGCGAGTCGCGGCACAGCACCACACTTTTGGAGTGACGAGGAAACTAAAGCGCAAACAAACGCGGTCGCTATCTCTTCCGAACTGGGAAACATGTTGTTGTTTTCACGGATACCGGAACAAGAAGAACCGGACATGACGCATATTGCGTCTGGACGTAGTCCATACGTCCTGACGCTACCCCAACGTCCGCATTTAAATCGGGTTATGCAAGTTAGAGGGAAGTCTTTCTATTTATGCTTGTAAACGGGTTATTCTGATCAACTCAGAAACCCGAATACCGACCTTAACCCGATCATAACCCGGATATTGGCTGCATGTAAACGTAGTCATTTGTTCAGCAGGGGTGAATGTAAAGGTTAATTTATGCCTACAGGAAGAAAGAACAACACTGACACCTGGATTGGCAGGGACACAAAGGTTAGTATGACCTTGTTATTTTGCTTTACTTCCTTATTTAAATTGCATAAAAACTTTTTTTCATCCTTCCAGCATTTATGAACCCTGCAGAAGTTTTGGGAATTAAACTGCTCTTCCTTGTCTGAGAAGTGCCAAAAAGGAAAGTCGATGGGTTATATCTAGCCTAAATATCACCCTTTGTAGTAGGAAGATTTTCAGCATTCTGTTTCAATAATATTTAGTGTTGATCAAATTACTTTTCCAATTTCAGCTAATTAGATTTTTTTACAGCAGTTATTAAAATATTATAAATAATTTGTATTATAAATTGAACAGCAACAGATCCAGATGAAATGTGAGGTAGCTTTTTGAAAGCAGAGCATTGCAGTTATGACTTTTATTTTCATTGGTCAACTGCTTCATGAGCCAAGAAAACTGACATGAATGAAATATTTTCCACAACTGTTTAACTACGTAGCGTGGAGTGTAGCAGTACAGGAAATACATTGGATCCTTTGCTAAAATTCCTCCTTCAAACAGAATCCTACACAATACCTCCTAACCTTGAATCACAGCCGTGTAAAACTTCCAGTTCAAAGCTCTTTATATCACATTGACTTAGAAATATCTAAAAACAATAACTGACAATTATCACATAGTTACACAGAAACTAAAGAGAAAAGAACAATTTCAATGAGTTTTCTAATTTTTGAGAAAAACATTTATAAAATCTTAATGAAACCATTCACATTTTAACATTTAGGAGTGCAAAACACTCATTCCACTCAAGAAAATCAGAAAATACGTCCGTTAGGAAGTGGTGAATGCTTTTTAACACAGACTTGTTCACATTTTCAGGTGTTTTGAATACAGTATCTGACCTTCCCTTTAATGGCAATTGTGGAAGAATTAAAATCAACCAAAACTTTACTAAAATTATAAGGCTGTAGAAAATATATTTGCACTTAAATGAGATATTTTTTTAGCAATAGGATCAAAAGATCACAATGACACATGATTAAATTAAAGATACATAAACAAAGCCACTCAAACTACATTATCCAACTTTAGGAGAGAGACTTAATGTGTGTGTGGGGAGGGTGTGCTGGGAGGCCATCTGCAGCTGTTACATGCCACGTTTGGCACCAGTGTGCACAAAAACCATAAGACTTGGTTTTAGAGGTATGGTGTGAACTAACTTTTAATTAGGGTTAAGGGTAGGAATAGTCCAGTGACGGTCATGGTTAGTTTGTGTCAGGGTTCGGCATAATGCAGTCCCTAAAATGAACGGAAGTCCCCACAAGTGTAGTAATGCAAACGTGTGTGTGTGTGTGTGTGTGTGTGTGTGTGTGTGTGTGTGTGTGTGTGTGTGTAAATGCTCTTTTCATTGTTTTCTTTGAATGGCTGCTGTAGGTCTTGTCTTCATCGATAGAAGTTCTGCTACTAGTTGACCACTGCCTTGGTAAAAGTCCAGTCCTGTAATCCACTCAACATCTCTGACGCGGGATTGGTGAAACCAGATGTGATCTTCCACCCACTGGGATTCATGCTCTGCACTCTGTTAATAGGACAAAACAAATATACAGTTGAAACATTTTCAAATCCCAAAAAGTACACTGAGATTACCAAATGTACTTTTACTTTTTAAAAGGATACTTGTGCATTGTTTTGGCTTTTGTGTCATATTCTGACAGCGACAGCACAAGGGGATGGCATTTAGGACAAAACAAGAAAGTAGCATATCTAATGAGCAATGTCTTAACTCCTACATGTGTGGAAATGTACATGGTGCGAAAACCCAGACATCACCAGTTACCAACAGGCCCCAGGTGTGTCTCATGCCACTAACAGCAGACTCCAAGTAGAATCCTAGTGGTGGGATTACATACAAATTATCCAGAAATTCAAATGGAACAGTACGTTCACTCAGAACGAGCTTTTGCTATTAAATTCTGCTGCATGTTTAAAAAAAAATCACTTTTCCTGTACTTTTAGTTGTAGTTAAATATAAAACTCCCATCATGATTATGTGCAGGTGCATAGATGGGATTTTCAGCCTTGCACCCTGGCTGCTCAGATTCAAGCCTTTTTAAACGGGACCTCATGGTGTCACTCTTCAACAACAGAAGGTGGTAGAGATCATTGAACTAAATATTAATTGGTAAATGGCCTGTATTTGATATAGCGCCTTCTAGAGTCCTGGAACCCCCTAAGGCGCTTTACAACACAACCAGTCATTCACCCATTCACACACACATTCACACACTGGTGGGGATGAGCTACAATGTAGCCACAGCTGCCCTGGGGCGCACTGACAGAGGCGAGGCTGCCGAGCACTGGCGCCACCGGTCCCTCCGACCACCATCAGCAGGCAACGTGGGTTAAGTGTCTTGCCCAAGGACACAACAACAGCGACAGACTGAGCGGGACTCGAACTAGCAACCTTCCGATTACGGGGCGAGCACTTAACTCCTGTGCCACCGTCGCAATATTACTTGATACATTTTGATAGTACTAATAAAAAATACACCTATTCATTGTTTATCTTGGGATCTTGCAGTATTTCCATTATGTCCAATCTTGTTTGTTGTCCCTATTTAGATTTAGAAGAAAATAAATGAATAAAAGCGAGTGATTTATGTTTATGTTTATTTATTTGGCAGACGCTTTTATCCAAAGCAACTTACAATTTATAACCTATAGGGCATGTTGTGATCTGTGGGGGAAACCGGAGTTCCCGGAGGAAACCCACGCATGCACGGGGAGAACACGCAACTCCACGCAGAAAGGCCGCAGCCGAGTTTCGAACCTGCAACCTTCGTGCTGCGAGGCAACAGTGCTAACAACTGTGCCACCATGCAGCCCAGTAGATTTGAGAAGAAACAGAAACAATCTGATCTTTTTTCCAAGCATTATGAACTTTGTTGTCCTAAGTGCAGAAAGTCCAGAATGCTGCAGCCAGATTTATCTCCAATGCTAATAGACGCTGCCACGTCACTCCCATTCTGGAAGATCTACACTGGATTCCTGTGCAATTTCGAATTCAACACAAGGTTCTTACTTTTACTTACAAAGCCCTGAATGGTCTAGCCCCCTTATACCTGTCGGAGCTGCCCCCCCCCCCCCCCCCCCTGTTCACTAAGGTCTGCTGATCATCTTTTGCTCATAGTCCCTAAAATGAAATATAAAGCTTGTGGGGAACGTGCGTTCGCCTTTGCAGCTCCAAGACTTTGGAATGCACTCCCTCTGGTGGAACGCCAGGCTTCTTCACTGGCACAGTTTTAATCCAGCCTGAAGACACATTTCTTTAATTTGGCTTTTGGTCAATGATCGGTCTTTTATGCTGTGACTCTTCTGTTTTACTGACTTCTGTTTTTATTGACTTGTCTTTTATTGGCTGTTTTATACATTTGTATTGTTTTTAGGTGTTTCTATTTTATGACAGCTTTTATCTGTGTTTAATGTGTATTTTAAATGGCTTTTTAGGTTTTAACTCTGTGCAGTGCTTTGGTCAGCTGACATGCTGTTTTTAAATGCGCTATATAAATAAAATTGGATTGGATTGGAAGTGTTCCTCCAGGCAGTTTCGGAACACTTTAAACACGAGGACGAAAAGGAAACGATGACAAGCACATTATATCTTTGTTCAGCCTACCAGGTAAGCGATGCACTGCTCATGCAGTTTCGTTATTAGCGTCATATTTTTTAAGCGCCTTGCAGACATCATTCATTCATTCATTTACTCATTCACTCACACTTTTGCACACACTAATTGTGTAGAAAGACCGTTGTGTTCAGGGGGTTCATTTGACAACCCAGGGTCCAGACCAGGAAGCAGAGTCGTAGTTTAACCCACCCCTCTGCAGCTTCTGTACTGTTACCCACCCACTACCCCATAGAGACAGTGTCCTGCCCACGGCCAAAACCACACAGATTAAATATCAGGCTTAATAAAGCAAATCATGGAAATCTCATAAATATTAGAACAAATTCAACTGAGCAGAAAACTAGAAAAATTAAATGTGGGTTGTTGAACATTAGATCAATTTTTTCTAAGACTTTGTTAGTTAATGACTTGATTTGTGATAATCAGATCTCTTTGCTCTCTCTCACAGAATCCTGGCTGCAGCAAGAGGACTATGTTAGCTTAAACGAGTCGACTCCTTCAAATTATTTAAATCATCATATTGCTCAAAGTACAGGGCGAGGAGGAGGAGTGGCAACCATTTTTCATTCGGACTTATTAATCAGTCCCTTACAGATTAATAGCTACAGGTCGTTTGAACATCTTATTCTTAGTTTTCCTAATCCAGATTGCAAAACTGTAAAACCATTCTTGTTTGTAGTTTTATATCGTCCACCAGGCCCTTACTCTGAGTTTTTGGATCAGATCTCTGATTTTTTATCTGATTTGGTGCTAAATACTGATAAGGTCATTGTAATGGGGGATTTTAATATTCATGTGGACATTGAAAATGATAGCCTCAATGTAGCCTTTAGTAATATCTTAGACTCAATTGGTTTTTCTCAAAGAATACATAGCTCCACCCACTCCTGCCATCATACATTGGACCTTGTTCTGACTTATGGCATTGAGTGTGAGGAAATAACAATCTTTCCACATAATCCAGTCCTCTCGGACCACTTTCTGATAACCTTTGAGTTTTTTATAACTGAGTTCTCGAGACATGAAAGTAAATTTCATTATAGTCGGTCTATCTGACAACGCTGTTGCGTCTTTTAAATCAACTGTTCCATCTTTACTGTCCTCAGCATCTCAGAGGCATGTAGCAGAGGGCAATATTTTCAGTTCCAGCCCCTCACAAATTGATGCCTTAGTTCATCATGTGAATTCCTCTTTACGTGTGGCATTAGACGATGTTGCCCCTTTAAAAAAGAAGGTAATTAGGGACAGGAAGTTGGCTCCCTGGTTTAATTCTCATCTACGAGCCTTAAAACAAAACTCTAGGAAATTGGAGAGAACATGGCGCTCTACGCACCATGAGGAGGCCTCCTATCCTGGAAAAATAGTCTTGTGCTTTATAAAAATAAGCTTCAACAAACTAGAACTGCTTATTTTTCAGCATTAATTGAGGAGAATAAGCATAATCCTAAATTTCTTTTCAGTACAGTTGCTAAACTTACACAGAATCGTAGCTCTGAGCCATCTATTCCCTTAGCCCTCAGCAGCAATGACTTCATGGGATTTTTTACAAGTAAAATTAATTCTATTAGAAACAAAATCTTTAGCATCCTCCCTAATGCAATTTCTTCTTCCTCAGTACGTGAGGCAGCTTCAGAGGTGACTGTAGATCCTCATCTGTGCTTGAACCGTTTTGATCCAGTTGAGCTTTCAGAGTTATCAAAAATATTAGCTTCATCTAAACCTTCAACTTGCATTTTGGATCCAATCCCAACCAAATTATTTAAAGATGCATTTCCTTTGGTTACTGCCCCCATTCTAGATATAATCAATCTATCCTTAGTAAATGGATATGTACCACAAGATTTTAAGGTGGCTGTAATCAAACCTTCACTTAAGAAGCCTTCTCTGGATCCAGATGACCCAATGAATTATAGACCAATATCTAACCTTCCATTTTTATCCAAAGTCCTGGAGAAAATAGTGGCCATCCAAGTATGTGAGCATTTAAACACTAATGCTCTGTTTGAGGAATTTCAGTCTGGTTTTAGAGAGTATCACAGCACTGAAACTGCATTAGTGAGAGTTACAAATGATATTCTTATGGCCTCAGATAAGAATCTTGTGTCTGTTCTAGTCTTGTTAGATCTCAGTGCTGCCTTTGACACAGTTGATCACAATGTTCTTTTAGAAAGACTTGAACATGTTGTAGGGATCAAAGGAGCAGCGTTAGGCTGGTTTAAATCCTACCTGTCTGACAGATTTCATTTTGTAAATGTACATGACAAATCTTCTTCATACTCCAGGGTTACTTGCGGAGTACCACAGGGTTCAGTGCTTGGACCAATTCTTTTTACTATATATATGCTCCCAATTGGTAAAATCATTAGACAGCATGGGATAAACTTCCACTGTTATGCTGACGATACTCAGTTATATTTATCCATTAACCCTGATGAACCTAATCGGTTGGGTAGATTACAGGCTTGTCTTGAGGACATAAAAAATTGGATGACTCTTAACTTCTTGCTTTTAAATCAAGACAAGACGGAAGTTCTCATCTTTGGACCAGAAATCCAGAAAAGGAAATTGCTTAGCCAATCGCCTGACCTTAATGGCATTACATTAATCTCCGAGAACAAAGCAAGGAACCTTGGTGTTATCTTTGACCAGGACATGTCATTCAAATCCCAGGTTTCACAAGTTTGTCGGATTTCCTTTTTCCACCTTCGGAATATTGCTAAGATCAGAAGCATACTTTCCAGGAGTGATGCTGAAAAACTAGTTCATGCATTTATTACATCAAGACTGGATTACTGTAATTCATTACTCTCAGGAAGTCCACAGAATGTAGTTAAAAGTCTTCAGCTTGTCCAAAATGCTGCAGCTAGAGTTCTGATGAGAATTAAAAAGAGAGATCATATCTCTCCTGTCTTAGCTTCCCTACATTGGCTACCTGTTAAATTCAGAATAGATTTTAAGATCCTTCTTCTCACATATAAAGCTCTTAATAATCAAGGTCCATCATACATCAGTAATCTGATTGTTCCATATGTTCCTAACCAAGCACTTCGCTCTCAGACTGCAGGTCTACTGGTGGTTCCAAGAATATCTAAACTTAGGATGGGAGGCAGATCTTTTAGTTATCAGGCTCCTCTCCTGTGGAACCAGCTCCCAGCTTTAGTCCGTGAGGCAGACACTTTGTCTACTTTTAAGAATAGGCATAAAACATTTTTATTTGATAGGGCCTATAGTTAAAATCTGATGTTAGCCTAAATCTGGACAAGTGGGGGATTACAGGGAGGTGGAGTATACAGTCGGTAAAGACGGCTCTCCCTTGCCCTGCCTCCAACATGCCTCCATCTAAATAGGATAGATTATCCAGAGTTAACGCTGTAGCTATGCTGCTATAGGCTTAGACTGCTGGAGGACACACTGACCACTTTTCACACTCTACTGCTTTATTCTACAGTCTGCTCTTTAACTGTACTATTTTGTGCAATTTCAGCTGTTAACTTTATTTTCTCTGTAAGTGTTTTTCTCCCCAGAAGAAGCTACAATGACGTTCTGCTGAGCTGTGGTGGCCTCATGGAGGGGGCCATCGACTAGCACACTGCTGCTAACCACTTAAACATTCTCTCTCTCCTGATAATAACTTTTTGTTTTTTTATTGACTTTTGATGTGCTACTACTAGTTTATCCGTTTAATTATAGATCCACTAGGATAAATACAATAAATTTTATCTTTCACCAAATGCAATATTTACTAAGACATCACAATATAACTATAGACACAGTACTTGTGTGTGTGTGTGTGTGTGTTAGTGTGTGTGTGTGTGTGTGTGTGTGTGTGTGTGTGTGTGTGTGTGTGTGTGTGTGTGTATGCCTGCTCTGTCTTCTCGATCCCCAGTGAGTCGTGGAGGATGGCTGCTTATACTGAGCCAGGATTCTCTGGAGGTTTCTTCCTGTTAAAAGGGAGTTTTCCTCTCCACTGTCGCTGCATGCTTGCTTAGTATGAGGATTGCTGTAAAGTCACTGACACTAGTCAGTGACTTGATGCAATTTGCTGGGTTCCTTATTTAGGAAACATTATTTCTGATTGGCTTAATGAACTGTGAATTGGAATGTTTATTATGTGAAGTGCCTTGAGACGACTCTTGTCGTGATTTGGCGCTATACAAATAAACTTGAATTGAATTGAATTGAATTTAGGGGGCTCAGTAGGAGCTCGTTTCAATGAAAGTACATACTTGTTTGACTGAGTGGGTTGCATTTTCATTATCTTACGTTGCAATTTTCCATGTTGTCGGCTCGGTGAGGGAGCAGGAAGGTCACGGTTTGCAGCTCACCAAGACAAGCTGTGACAGTTTGACCTGGGTCCTTGCAGCTGGTCAGCACTGCAAAGTAATGTGTGGGGATGGAGAGATTTTTTCCATGCACGGACCTTGAGTTGAACAGGAAAAACTCATTATGTAGGACTCAGACAGGACACTTCCTTGGTATCCACAGAACATGAAACTGATAAGCTCAGCTCTTCCAGTGAATCCCAGCCAAAGGTTACAGAGGAAATACGGATCTGGAGCTTACATTTTCATTTTAGGAGGTTGAAATAAACTTTCATTGATGTACAGGAATTATTTGGCAAAAGCAAAATCTCCCAGCTAAGTGCAGTGAGCGATTAAAAACAACACTTGCTGCAAAGGATTTCACTGTAAAATATAACTTTCTTCATATCTTTTGTTGTTATTTCTTTGTAATTCATGATTACATCAATTAAACTTTGTTCAATTGTTGAAAAAGATAAAAAAAACTTTTCAGATCTACAAGTAGAACAATGAAATGATCACTTTCCTAAACAACCATTTAATGTAGCAATTAATGCTAAAGCATGCATCATAAAGGGTGCAACAGTATCGCTGCTTGGAACTGACACTTACTGATGTATCGTCTCTAAAGAGTCAAATCGGCCATCGTAGTTATAATCAAAAGCAGGACCGGTCACCACGTTGATGCCATTGTAAATGGAGGCATACTTCTTCAGTAGAGTGTTATGAAAGTAATCCCATATCTCTAAAAATAAATAAAATATATTGAAATGATAGAATAGAAATAATCAAGTCCATTTTCCGAGACTTTGAGACGTGAACTCACTCTTAAACTCGGGGTACATTGGGATTACATTACTCATTAGTAAAGCATCATACTGCTGCTCATCTGTGATGTTCAGATCTGTAAAATACAAAAAAAAAAACTATTTACTTTAGTAATATCATGATAAATGTACTACAATTGTGAAATCATTTAAAAAATCAGATTTTTATCTATCACTAGGGATGATTGATATTGGCTTTCATACCAATATCTGGTATACCGTAATATCGATGATCCATTAAACAGATTACAATACCGATATAAAATGATACTAATATACTTGTGGTCCTCCTGTCATGAAAAAAGGAAGACATACTGAATCATTTTAGGTAACAAACACAACATTTTATGCAAGCATAAACTACAGTTGTTCCAAACTATGAAAAACATCTCAAAAACAATACCTACAATTATTCATATTTTGACATTTAGAGTGAGAGTAGAAGGGTTTCATGTTTAATAAGAGCATGTTACAGTTTAAAAGAGGGAAAACCCCACACAGTTCAGGATATTGCATTTTAATGCCAATATCGGCCAACTATGTCTATCAACATTTGCTGTTATTGAAACTCTTAGAAAGACTTTGTGGAATGTACATCCACAACTGAAACATAACCAGTTTTACAGCTATTGAGATAATTATAGGTGTGTGTGTGTGTGTGTGTGTGTGTGGGTGGGTGGGGGTGGGGGGTCTAAGTGAGAATAATTCACAAGCCAATCCCCGCAGGCCAAAGCGACTTTCAATCATGTGCCAGGGGAACCAGCTGGTATTTAGTTTCTTCCCTCTTATCTTGGCACTTTACCTCTGGTAGTTTCAGTGTGTCACAAAGTAGCAGTGAAACCAGAGCCTCGGGTTTCTGAGCTAAACTCCTACAGAGTTCAATCAAGTCCAATCATCACAAGTTAAAATAAGAATTTGCGACTTGTAAAGCAAATTCTCATTGAGCTTTCAAGACACACAAACCACCAAAACAGTCATCGTCAAAGAGTCGATTTTAATAATCGTATTTTAAACCTCAAATTTTAATTAGAGGTTTAAAATACCCCCAAACATCTAATTAACAAGGAACTCCTGCAATGCTCGGTGACGTGCTCTTTTTTAATGACCAGATGGCTGACTTTCATGACCTTTCAATGACAAGATACCGTAAAGGAAAAATGTGTTTTTCTTTTGCACTGTACGGCCCACAGACCAGTGTGGTTAATCTGCACAAGGCAGGTGGCGACACCTACTGGGTGGATACAGAAAACCATGGGTCCACCTCCCAGTAGCTTCATACTGATCACATCTGGAGCTTTGATCAGGAGACAGTCTCACATCGGCCCTCAAACAGTCTGACATCACTGGTGGCAGCGGCTCTAATGTGACCTATAGCAAAGAAAAGGTAATGCTAAAATCACAGCTTGCATGCATTATGAGCTTCTTGGTCACTCTGAGTTGCACGTGCATGTTAATTCTTATCGCCTGCAGTAGACATAGAAATGAAATAAACTGGACATGTATTTGATTAAAAAAAAAGCTACAATGTCAAACGGACAATTAGCATTCATGGCCTTGGTTTGCGATTGTCCATGGGAATGAGAGAGCAGACGACAGCTCAGCTAGTAGACGTTAACCATTAGCATCTCCATAACATGGCCAAACACTTTCGGGCTTGTGTTATTTGCGGAGTTAACACACCAATGTTGCATTTTTAATGCAAGAAAGAAGAGCAAACGAAGGCAGCAGAAGAGATGTGTTGCTCTTAGCCAATCAGAGGCAAATCTTTTACATATCATGAATATTAATGAGTAAACATTGTAATTCTGCCGTTTTTTGCTCTCCACTCCTCTGAAAAACTCCAGGCTGAAACAGGAGTGCCAGTTTTTTTTTATTTCACTGAAAACGACTCACAAGGCAGTCATTCATACTAGAGACATAAATGAGTGAATGAGTCCGAACTATTCAGTAGAAATTCTCATAAACTGTTAGCATGGCCAAAGAACTACACCATCCTATTGATGGATATTCTAACAGACTCACTTTGGGGGCCGCTAACGCACTCACTGGTTTTTCAATGGTGAAGGAGCTCCAAAGAGGCATGAAAGCTTGATGGCTGTAGGCGCTGACAAATCCCTCCTGGTGAAGGATGCAGTAATTCTGATCCGGCTGCAGCGTTTGGGGACGGCCAAACGGCATGTGCATCTTCTCTGCAGCAGAGACTATTGAAGAATAATTAGAACTTCAATCAACTCATTCATGCATTTCGATCAATAACCAATCGCACTGCATACCTTCAAAACGTTTTAGTGAATGAAAGACCTTAAAACTGCTCACCCTTCTCCGCTGTTAGATTCAAACGCATGTTGATGCCATTTCCATCCTAAATGTACAAACAGGTTAAATATCAATTATGGTGATATACTGTTTATGTTGGGATTCAATTATATTACTATATACATACAACATAAAAGTCCAGTTTTTATACAAACTGACAAACTGTCTCTCAGCAGAAGAACCTTATATTTTGTTCTCTGCTCTAAAAGCTTCTAAATACCTGGGAGGTTTAATTATTGTCATGTGGTGTGTTCCCTTGTGTTGTTTTGTTTTGTTTTGTTTACCTTGGCTCCCTGGTTAGCCTGGCCTGCCAAACTCCTCCTCTGTTTAATTCTGCACAGAGAAAGGCTCTGGGAACTCTCCTATTCAAATAACCCCTCCCCGTGAGAATTCTAACCGAGCCATTCAGCGCTGAGCAGCGTACGTCACACACCACAACGCTGAGTTTGTCAAAAACATGGCGACGGAAGCAGAGTTCGCTATGGTTTTTTCCTCTACTTGAATGTCTTTAAAACCACAAGTAGAAGTGCTAAAAGCCTTTCTTCTGAAAAAAAAGATGTATGCGCTGTTGCCAGACGCTATTTTTGACTACAGCTAAAAAACGACAGCATGGCGCGGTACAGTCGGCATTTCCGTCTTTTTTCTGATTGGTTATTTTTGAGCTGCCTAGTCCCGCCCCTCATGTGTCTCTCTGCCGGTGAGTAACCAGACCTTTTCTCTGTGCAGAATTAAACAGAGGAGGAGTATGGCAGGCCCCGGTACCATGCACACCTGTAATTTATCATCACTTAGCACACCTGTTCCTCGTCTCAATGTTTAAACTGCCAGTTTTCCTTCCATTTTTGTTAGATTGAGGCCCTGTCCACACGTAGCCGGGGATCTGCTGTAGATATTTTTCTACGTTTTGGCCTGTCATCCACACGAAAACAGAGTTTTTTCACACGAAAACGGATCTTTTTAAAAACTTCGGCCAAAGTGAAGATCTGCGTTTTCTCCGTTTTGGGTGTCTGCGTGTGGACGGACAAAACCGGAGTTTTAAGGTCCGCAACGTCACTTTCTGCGACAAAAAATGCTGACATCACGTGTGCGACCTGTGTTTACACTAGCCAGCATCATGGAAGCCCTCAGATCTGCGCTCGCTTTATCAATTGTCCAAGCGCTTTCTGCTGGTTTGTTTTTGCAAGAGGAATTACTGCTCCTTGTGGAAGACCACAGACGAAGGACGAGGTTAAGAACGGGGAAGTACTGCCGCCTACAGGTCTGGCATGTCCTTAACAACGTATTTATCCGGGTACGTGTGGACAGAGTTTTTTTTTTAAACGAGGTGGTTTGGATGCAAGTTTTTGGAGGGGTGGATATTCGTTTTTTTTTAAAACCCGGCTACGTGTGGACTAGGCCTTAGTTTGTCCTTTCTGCATCCCCTTGGTTGTCTCTTGCTCTCCTCATGTCCCTTTAACTTATTAAATGTTCATTTGAGTCTACCTGCCTGACTCTGGAGTTTCAGTACCTACACTTGGGTCATCCTCCTTCATGGATGTTGTGACACCAATTCCAAATAGGAAACATTGGGATTTGACTTTGTTTAAACTTGGATTTAGGAAGAAAATAAACATTTGGGAAGAGGAGATTCTAGCAGTCTCTGAACATATGTACATCAGTTTGGTGTGTATATTCCAAAATACAAATTGAATGGATCATTTTTAGAGGAAAATTGAATCATGTGGGAAAAATATTTAGAATCTTCCACAGAAACACAAACAATCCAGTTAGAAAAGTAATTATGTGGCTGTCTGCAGTGTTGCCAACTGCTTTTGACTGAAAGTAGCTGAAGTTACTCCCAAAAGTCGCCAGATGACGTCACGTGTTAATTTACATACTGATGACGTCATCACACCACATTGGCGTTCATTTTCCCCATAGCATCTAAAAGATGCTATATATATATATATATATATATATATATATATATATATATATATATATATATATATATATATATATATATATATATATATATATATATATATATGTGTATATATAATAGGACTAAAAGGGAGGAAAATAAAAACTGTTATGTGTTAAAGTTATTCTTTAGTATGATTAAAATGGCCCAAATTGCTTTGATATGTACAATAAATTCCAAAAGTATCAATAAAGTGGCATTAAGACAGATATGGTGTGGTGATCCAAACAGTTCTGTTGTAGGATATAACTCAGACCTGCTCTCCATTCTCACAGACATTTTCCTAAAAAAGCTTTTTTTTTTTTACACCTCATAGTTTCTCAACTTCTCTGTTGTGCATTCTCTCCATCGTGATAATAATGGTGCTCCGAGCAAAAGGGAGCGGGTGTCTCATAGTATAACCATCCCTGTGTCATTGAAGGAAATTCAGATGAGCCACAGAGCTGCGTGTGTAAACGGGATGGTAGTTGAAACTCCCGATGACTTTATTTGCCAAATGCAGGAAAAACCAAAGTGTCTGACGGCTGCAGAACCAGAGATCGCAGGTCGACGCCTGCGCCATCTCCAGTAGAAGCGTGAGCCTGCAGCAGCAGCAGAAGTAAATAGGCGGTCTCCAGCTCTGCAACTGTCTTCGGCCCAGCTGAAAACGGTTTATGATTGGTCAGTCCTCGTGCACATGCGCAAATTGTCGTTCTCTTTCCTTACTCCCGGAAGAACAGTTCAGAGAGCAAATGGTTTCTTTGTTGCTAATCTGTGGGGAATATCTACAAGAAAGTTCTACAGAAAGTAGCAACGGGTCATGAGAAATGTCGCTAGGTTTGTTGCTAGGCGCTTTTTGGAAAAAAAGTCGTTGAGGGGGGTCAAAAAGTCGTTAGGAACAGTGACAAAGTCGCTGAGTTGGCAACACTGGCTGTCTGTTGCAAAACCTGTCAAACACATCTTTCTAAAGGTGAATTATTTTATCGTTTCATAGTAATGTGATAATATAATTTTCCTGTTTGTTCATTTTAAAGAAATGTTTCAAATGAGGAAAATGCAGAAAAAAAAACCAAAATACCTTTGACTTTACCAAAGTACGCCATCATCAAAAGTACACAGGACTTAGTTTGCGAAGGAAAATACACAACGGGACTAAAAAGTTAAAAATGAATAAATAACAGTGAACGCTTAACCCCAGAGAGGATTTGAAAATAATTAGTGTTCTTTTGAATGAACATATTCTTGTTTAAAGGGATACTCTGCAGTTTTGGCTTGCTTTTAGCACCCTCTATTATTCTTAAGTCAAAGCAAAAGTAAAACTTATCTCTTTGCTGTGTGTTCGTCTTTTTAACACCTTAATCTAACTGCTGAAATGTCCCCTCAGCCTTCATTTGTGTCTACAGGAGCAATTCATCTATGAATCAAACAAATCAGCTGTGTTCATGATCTAAAACATGTAGGAAATATGCTGGAAGCAGGTTTCAGGGCCAGACAGAGGCGGAGCTGGCCTAAATGGCGCCCTGTGCGAGATCCCCCTGTGACCCCCCCCCCCCCCCCCCCCCACACACACACACACACAAGAAAAAACATTACACCTACAACTTTGTTTCAAATTGCGTGGAGTGTATATATAACAACGTTTGCTAACTGAATACAACATCCAGCTCCTGGCCACCTTCTCACCACTTGTCAAAGTTCTACTAAAATAGACACACTTAACGCAACATGATGGCATCATCGACTTGTACAGTACAGATGTGCTGAAAGGCGAGAGTCTCAACTTTCAGCTAAAAAAAGACCGCTCTAGCTATTATAGTTTTTATTTTATGGCAGTTTACAGTTTAAACGGGATCATACTAGCAGGGCACCTCCAGCGGCCGCTGCCGCTCCGTTTTTCATGGGGTAAATAATAGCTCATTTCCCGATTCCAAAAAGAAAGAATGGTCCTACCAGCTCGCCACTTCAATATGAAGAAGATCAGTTCAACATGAGGAAAAAAACCTGACCTGTAGGCCAGAGAAACGTTCATTAGCACATCAAGTTCTATTCAGTTTACCGGTAAATATATCACGAATGTGCAACTGGTCAATTATTAATCATCTTGGCTACGTAGCTCAATCTATGCATTCCAGTAGCGTTTGCTACAAACAAATATAAAAACAACAATAAAGGAAAACAACTGTCTGACAGACAGCATAGCCGAATTCAAGGCAACACATAACAATAATCATTCGATTGCTCTTGGTTTCGAGTTAAGCCCATTAAAGTGCTTAAGTAAATAAAAGTGTTTCAAAAACAGCGTTTTTGAACCGGAGTTCTGTTCGCGGTGGGAACTCCGCCGAACAAGGTCATTTTTTATAGCAAAAACGATCGACTGGTCACTGACAAGTAAAAGGGTGTTATTGGTAGATGTTAAGAACACTTACCGCTGAGGTAAAATGAGAGTATAAATGAACTGAGGGGAGAAAAACGCTTTGTTTTCCAACGCCGTTCTACAAGCAACAAGCTTACAGCCACGGCAGGAGCAGCTTTCATGGTTGCCGCGACGTGGACGGAGCCAATCAGGAGAGGGACCTCACATCAGCTGACGTGGGTCATGTGACAGGGAGTATATGGGTTACACTTTGTTGTGCTTTTATTACAGAAATATTATTATTATCATCACTATTATTATTAAGAACATGCGATTTCTATGTTTTGTTTATGTATTGGTTGATGCTAAAAAAAAAAAAAATTTAGAAAAAAAAAAAAAAGGAAATTAAATGCCGCCTCCTGCAGACTGCCGCCCTGTTCGGCCGCACATGTTGCACATATCAAGCTCCGCCACTGGGGCCAGGCATGTCAGCTCCACTTTACTAAGTCCAACAGGAACTGGACTGGCACTCAGAAATTACAAGTGCAGTATTCTGGCCTGTAAAGGGTCCTTTTAGCATATAATGGCTCACGAAAATGAGTTAAAAATATGAAAAAGTTGCATAGTACGCCTTTAATGTCATGGCTCCCAATCCTTCACCCTCCTCTGCCTCTTCATCTAGATTTCAGCCTTTATGCAGCACACCTGGTCCCCTCATCAAGCTCCTGACAAGCCCTGTTTCCCTGCCTACCGCAACCAGCTTTATCCACTTCACCTCTTCCTGTCATCAGCCTCATTCACCACACCTGTTCCTCCTGCTTTATATTCACCAGCCAGCCACCAGTTCTCTGCCAGATTATTGAAAGCTCACACAAGTAAATCTTCCAGCCATTCACCCTGCCTGATCTCAGCCTCCGGACCTCGTTTTCACTCCTGACCCCTGCCTTGTTCTGCCTGCCACCACGACCTTCGCCTATCCTCTACCTCGTCTCCTGCCTGTTCCCTGTATCTGCTTGTCCGATCTGGTTTTGACCCTCGCCTCCTCCCCGACTCTGTCTCCAGCCTCGCCCTCCTCTGGTAACTCCACATCAAATAAAAGACTTTATCTACTTTTTACTGTGTTTGGTGTCTTCACAGGTCTTCTGAGTTCTGCTCGTGACATTTAATCATGGTTGATGTTGCGAGATTTAAAGAGGGCCACATGACAAACGTGGGAATTTTTGGAAAACAGGCACCGACATTTTTACAGCTTGACTCTGTTTAGGGAGTAGATGTCAGAAAGTCTTGACCTTCTGTTGTCAGTATGACATTTCATAAAATTCAATGTCATACTGAATCACTGGGACAGACAATTAACTTCACTTCTGACGAAAGGCAGTTCAGACATTTTTAAGTTTCTACCTCTTCCCACCTCTTTTGAAGAAATGCCATTTTTTTGTTAGGAGAGGGAGGACAGAGTCAGTGACCAATGACTGTGCTAATTCAAAGACTGTGGCGGTTTCTGGAATACTGTTGGAACAGTTACCTGAAATTACACCACCTCTCAGCTCAGACAAAGAAAAACAGCTCGGATCACTAACTTGTTTGCTCCACAAAGAAGTCACTCAAACTGATGTTTCCAAATAAACAAATCCTGACATCATTCAGGAGTGTAATTGCAATTCGATGTTCCTTTTTTGGGGGGGGGGGGGGGGGGGGGGTCAGTTATAATTGGTTGCGATTATCAAGTCTGATCATGTTCTTCGCTGGATTTCTACCATAAAACAGAGAAATGTTTTGATGCCGTTTTCTGGAAAAGTTTTATTAAAGTTTCGTCCTTTTACACATTTCTGCAGACCTAGGATATGCTCCAGCATGCTTCACCAGGTTATGGATTATGATCATTTGTTCTTTGACTTTCAAATGACCTTTTTGAATGTATTTCTGGTGAAAATGTTGTAAAAAGCATTTAGCCATTTAAAATAAAAATAATAAAACTATTATAAGAATATGGATGTTGACTGTTTGCTGAGATAATGATTCTCTGGTTGTGTTTGTGTCTGGTCAAACTCTTACATTACTGGCCACTAAATTCACTGAGGCACATTGTGGTCATCAGCCTTTTCCATGTCAACGGCACTCCAAACTCATAAGTCCTTGGCAGCTTTACAACAGTAAAAACATTATTCTCTGTAACATGACTGGGACAAAGCTAGCTATGGCTGTCATAGATTAGAGCTGCATCAAATTCAACCCCAGATTGATCACCACATCATTTTACTAAGTAGCCAAAAAAGATTGATCAAATGGTTGAAGTACCATTTCTATCTTTAGGTCTAAAAATTAGGACACCCCTCCTCCTTTCATTAAAATTCTGAAAATAAAATTGGGGACGCTCCAATCCGATCACGTGATCGGAAATCGGGCCAGATGACGTGTTTTTGAAAGGATTGGAATCAGGAGAATTAAATTGGATTTAAACTTTTAAAACAACAATCATGACATTTTAAATTCATCCTGAGATGGAGATTCTCAAATTAAATAAAAATGGCTTTGTTTTAATTTCAGTAAGTCCCTCTACGTCAATAACATTTGTTTCTTGTATGAAAGCACAGTAACATCAAACAATTTACAGCAGGCAAGGACGCAGACACCAAGTGCCGCTGATAGTAAGCCTGCTAACACACAGCTAACGTGTCTCCTCAGGAGAGCAAAAATATCTGCAGCTTGGTGGTATTTTATACCGGAGAGCAAAGGCAGAGCTACAGACACTTCTAATGTGTGCATACTAAGTGTTCAACATACTAGCTCCATCATTCACTGCCTTCAAAACAGCTAATTTCTCTGTTGGCGTTTCCCTTCGAGCATCAACAAAGCAAATCACCGGTCCCCATTAATTCCCAGTTTACCTCTAACAATCACAGTTCACAGTGAAGTCAGACAAAAACGCGGAGCCAGCCGACAGAGAAAGTTACGTTAATGAACAAAGAGAAATTGCCAACAGACTGCAACACATCTGGGTTTCTAGTTCTGCACACCAGTGCGCTCTGCGGCTGGCTGAACCCTTGATTCTAGTGGTGAGCGCTGGAGCTGCATGCTGGAGCTACAGGTGTTATGCAGAGAAAAGTTACCATGCCTGCCGAAGGCTCCATCTGCCTTCTCCTTTACGAGAACACGGTTCACTGCTGCACATTGAGGAAGTAAACAACTTGAAGTAAGAGCAATGCTACTACTTTGAGGCATATGCAATATAAACAAATATTTCTTCTGTGTACTTCCTTAAAAAATTAAAGTGAAACTTAAAGGACAATTTGTGTTTTCTTATTATTTTAATGTTTTCCTGGTTTTTCTCCCCCTTTTGTTCTTATTCTAATGCTTTGCTAAAAATCACTTCTTTTTTTCTTCTTATTTTAATGCTTTTCTGAAAAGTATCAGATCGGCACTCGGTATAAATCAAATGACTCGGAATCAGATCGGGAGCAAAAAAACGTGATTGGAACATCCCTAAATAAAACCACCCATGACCTGACATCATCCAAACAGTGATAAACCCATGGGAACCACTACACAGGGGAAAATAGACCTAACAATTATCAGCATATAAATGTAACTTCACCCCTTATTTTAAAAATAGTGACCCAAGTGGTAAAAGGTACAAGGAGAAAAGAAAAGGACCTAAAACAGAACCCTGTGGCACCCCCCCCAGAAAAGATCAGAGGACCTGACTCTAACAACAGACAGACACAGACACAGTGAGATTAAATAAGTGACGGGATATCATGGAAATGGTTCTCGACCGGAAAAGGGTGGCTTGCCACCTCCGGGTCGGGGGAGAGGTCCTACCTCAAGTGGAGGAGTTTAAGTATCTCGGGGTCTTGTTCACGAGTGAGGGTAGGAGGGATCGGGAGATCGACAGGTGGATTGGTTCGGCATCTGCAGTTATGAGGACGCTGAGCCGATCTGTCGTGGGGAAGAGGGAGCTGAGCCAGAAAGCCAGGCTCTCGATTTACCGGTCGATCTACGTCCCAATCCTCACCTATGGTCATGAGCTTTGGGTAATGACCGAAAGAACGAGATCGCGGATACAAGCGGCCAAAATGAGTTTCCTCCGTAGGGTGGCCGGGCTCAGCCTTAGAGATAGGGTGAGGAGCTCGGACATTCGGGAGGGACTCGGAGTAGAACCGCTGCTCCTCCGGATCGAAAGGAGCCAGTTGAGGTGGTTTGGGCATCTGGTCAGGATGTCTCCTGGACGCCTCCCTGGGGAGGTGTTTCGGGCATGTCCTGCCGGCAGAAGGCCCCCGGGTCGACCCAGGACACGTTGGAGAGGTTACATCTCCAATCTGGTCCGGGAACGCCTTGGGGTCCTGCCGGAGGAGCTGGTGGACAAGGCCGGGGAGAGGACGGCCTGGAGCTCCCTAGTTGGGATGCTGCCCCCGCGACCCGGACCCGGATAAGCGGAGGAAGACGAAGACGAAGACGAAGATATCATGGAAAACAAGGGGCAGGCGAGTAGAAAGAGTTACGCGACAAGACAACAAAAACACAAGAATGTGAAATGAACAGAAGGGGTAAACTGGGGAAACTAGAAGAATATTTGCTAAATAAACAGGCACAGGGAAATTAACCTAGGCAGTTTGTATTGAGTAATGAAAAAACTATTTGTTAAGAGACTTTTCCAGTTTCTCTTTAATTTGCAATGTGGAGGTGATTAAGCTCACCAGGCTTGGACAAGAGCATCCCAAGTAGTCTTCAGGGTCCAGGCTGACTAATGGACACTCAGTTGGTCTGCTGTTCTCCCCAGGAGGGATCGGTGTGTGGTAGGGTTTCCTCAGGATATGATTCAGGCTTCCATGTGTCCCGTTGTTCTCAGCAGGGATGATTTCAAGTATGTCTACGTGGGGGAAAAAAGTCAGGTGAGTCAAACCCGTTTTACTCACATTATCAAAACACATTTAGATGTTGTTAGAACTTTGTATTTAGAGTTAGAATTCCTAAAGAGGACAGCAAACAGAAGTGAATTGCTCACCACACATGAGGTTGTATAGCTCAATGTTAGAGAAGGGTTCAACTGTAGACTTTTGCTGAAACTTGGGGCCATAGCTGAGAAACATGGCCTGGGATAAAAATAAATGAAGGGGAGGAAACACAAGTGATGATATCTGTGCTGCTATAATCATTGTACTTAAAAAAAGGTCCAGGTGGCTTGGGTCTGACCACAGACACTGTGGGAGAAACTGTGTGACTCACATGCATGCTCTCAGCGTCGTTATCGTAGCCGTGATTTCCACCAGAGCAGAAAGTGAGAGATCCTGGATCTCTAAGGGAAACAAATTACAATAAACCTAAATGGTCGGAGACTTTGGAAATGTAATCAGCTTTCTTTTTTATTTATTATCAGTGTGAAAATTGTACTCTGAAGAAATGTAATCATTGCTTAAGTATCTCATTATGATATTTTTCTTTTATGATGTTTTCTGTTCTGACGCTTAGAACAGTTAAACTAAAATGGGTGCTACATTAGTCTTTCCATAGAAAACCCACTGCTCACTTCCATCTATTTCTGCTTCTACTGGTCATTGTTGGATTCTGTCTGATCAGGTCTGATGCAGTTTTAAACAAATCAAAGGAAAAAGAGTAAGATTTCTAAAATGCAACCACCACCACATCGTCCATTTGCTCATGCCATGCTACCGATGTCCAAACCTAAACTTCTCTGCATTCACGATTTTGAACTTTGCTAGTGGAAATCAAAAGGAAAAATATTTAGATGAACTTTAATAACAATCTAAACTCTAGCAGAGCAGAAAATTTGCACATAATTATGAAATACCTCTCAAACAACCATTTGGGTTCAACCAGAACACTGACGTCTTCGATACGACGACTGTTGGCAAAATGAAGCCGTTTCGGTAGGTTGGCCTTCAGGTATGGCTTGATTTTTTGTTCCGGCTTCTTGCACTTGAATCATTAAAAATAAAAGCAGTTTTATTGTGAAGCTTTTTTTTTTGTCATAAGCTGTGTTACCTGCATCGGTTTAATTTGTTTCTCACAAACCAAAATGATCTTTTTTTTTTAATTGATAAAGCTTAAGAGCAAGATTTATATCGACAAGATGCCATCACCTTCAGCAGCAACAAATACTTACAGACATGTTGGCAACCAGTCCAGCTGCATCCACTGTTAAGAGAGGAACACAGTTTTTTTGGTCAAAATTAAAATTTTAAAGGTCATTCAGTTTAAGACATTGCAGAATAAAAAATAGGCCAATACCTTTTATTATTTTAGTTTTTTTACAGTATTTTATAAATGGCGCACTTGAAGTTTTAGACAATATCAACATACATTTTAATTAAAACCTCATATAATTTTGCTTATCCTATTGAAACAATAAGTACAGGATTAATTTATAATAGAATATAAGTCGATTGAATCATATATAAACTACTTAAAGTACAAACCTAGAATAAGAATTTAAATTTGCAGATTAAAATCAACAAGCTACAAATAAATGTTTTTTTAAAAACTGTCCAAAAAAACTGTCGTCAAAGTTGACTTAAACTCGTATTTCTCTTATCCGATGGCACCATCTAGTGGCTTCCAAAGTCCCATAGACAGGTCGATGTCTTTGGGGGGAGTTGGTTTTAGCGAGCGGAGGTTTTGAAGGTTGCGAAAGTGGTTTGCTGTGTGTGACCTTCCTCTGAAGCCAGTGATCACAGGTATAGGATATTGGCACATTTTGCTAGGTGTCGATGGAGCAGCGTCTGGGTCGAGTTTGTTTGCTCTGTGGACACGCGCAGGTAGACACGTATGTCTTTACCCCGGAGGGGCTGAGACACAAGGGCTGACGCTTCAGTTATGCCACCAAACTTATGCTGTGCTACTAATTGGAAACAGGTGTTCATGCACCAGCTGATTGCAATGGTTGAGACCTAGATCACCTGATGAGTGCTTTCAGGGAGGGGAGAAACGGCTCATTTACAGCCTCTGATTGTTTTCCCTTGGCCCAAACCGAAGCTACTAGACAACAGATGAGTTTCCTTCTCTTTTCCCAGTGGAAGATAGTGCAAAGCAAAAGTTTAAGAGGACAAAAACAAGCACTAACAGACGCTCAAGGCCCTTCGGTGCAGATTCAAGATTTCACACCTGTATAATATAATATTTATATTGTCAGAACATGATAAATATGTAAATTGTACGAATGTGAAAACCTTATTAAGTACTTCATAGTACATTGTAAGAATGTTATAGTACATTGTACAAATGTGAAAGTTATATTATTAGAACACTAACGTTATGATCTTATAACGTGATATTGTCCTAATTTTATTTGAAGTAGTTGGCAGTTCTAGGCTTCCATACAGAGGTGTCATGTTGGTGCTGCTTGCAAGCTTTCATTCAAAACCAAAAAGTATTTCACTTTAAGAAATGTGTTAATATTGTTTTCTTTAAATGCCTCATGATTTTTATCTTGAGAGGCGCTATATATAAGATCAGTTTCTTTCTTTTTTTATGTGTCTCTCTATACAGAGAAGCTCCACCAGGTCTAGCATTCTGCTGAGCTGTGATAGCTTCCTGAAGGGGGCCATCGGCTGACGCTACTGCCAACCACAGAACATTCTCCCATTCCTGCTATTAACGTTTGACTATCTTAAACATAAAAAGTACTACAACTAGTGCATCTGTTGATTTTCTGCTCTGTCTTCTCAAACCCTCAGTGAGTCGTGGCGGATGTCTGCTTATACTGAGCCAGGTTCTGCTGGAGGTTTCTTCCTGTTAAAATGGAGTTTTCCTTTCCACTGTCACTGCATGCTTGCTTAGTATGAGGATTGCTGACACAAGTCAGTGAATCGATGCTGGGTTCCTATATATTAACCACTTAGCATAATGAACCAAACTGAATGAACTGACAAGCTGGTTCAATTGGAATGCTTACTCTGTAAAGTTCATTGATCAGATTTGACACATACTGGTTTTGTGTCTTTTGTAAGGAATTGTGGTTTAATTGACACATTTTCTTAAGTAAAGACTTAAAGCACAGTTTCTTTTCCTGTTTCCTCACAGACAGCATCTTTGTTCTTGGCTCTGATTCGTCCAAATGGCCCCTCAGTAACCACGTAACTGCTGGTTTCTCCCACCAGTTCCTGCATCACTTCTTTCCTGTTGCAGCTGATCTCCTCCATGCCTGGAACAAATTCACACCAATGGGTTTCAGATTGATGTATCCACCTTTTTCAGAGAAAATGAAGTGCAAACATGGAGTTGTGTTTTAGATTAATCACCCGCAATGTTAATGTTTTATCCTTGTAAGTTTAGTTTGCAGAGACCTTGTTTTGTTGTTATTTATTTTCATAATCAGAATTCAATTTCCTGGCAACCAATTAGATGAAATTTCATTCACAGCTTCCCATTGTTCAAGCTGGAACTGTTTCCAGCTGCAATGATTGGCCCATGTCCTCCATTGCGGTTGCAATAGAGGACATAATACAGTTTGTTTACAATGCCACACGAGACGAATGATAGCATCTGAGGGTGATTTTAGCAGGATGCTCAATGAACAGTGATGCATTAGTGTGCTATGAACGTGGAGACAGTCTGCACACCAGCCACATCGATACATTATATTTGGCTTCATAAATATTTAGCTGTTAATTCTGTAAATTGTTCCACTCCAAGACATGTTTTTATCTACGTGCATGAATGACGTGTCTGTGCACAGTAGGGAGGAAAGCATGTCTAGTCAGTGACATGGTTCAGTTTAGACGGTTTTGGTATTAAAGAAGAAGCATCATTTCATTACTGATTATCACCCTTCGCTATGTTCTCAACAGGTCATGAATAAGTGTGTTGAATTACTGGATGGGTTGAAATCATATTTGAAATTCAGTGGATGACTGGGGTCAATCCAAGATGGCCACTGCCGCTGAAATTGGCTAAAAAATGGGTACAACTCTCTATTTTATGTGTATTGCACTAAAATCCAATGTAAATAGAACTTTGAAAAAGACACAAATAAGCAAAAACATAAAATAAATATACGATAAAAAAATTGCTGACAGTATAAAGCATTTGGACTTCTGGGCTAGCTATAGATAAACAGTCAATTTTTTACATTTTAGCCTCATCTCAGAAAATTACATTGCTGCAGACTTAACAACAGTTCAGATTTATAAAGCCAATAATCAATAAGAGCAACCAACAGAGGTCATGCTAAAGCCACATTGTTATTATTAGCGTTACCATGATCGGCAACCACAATGATGTTGATGCAGCGATGCAGGTCGATCTGCTTGAGGCCGTTCATGAGCTGACCCATTATTTTATCCACTCCTTGGATGGCTGAAATGATCTGAAAAACAAACAAATCAGTGAACTTAGTCAATTTCAATATCAAATGTCATTATTTTTTATTTTAATATTTTCACATAATGTGAGCTGTTCCTATTTTCTACATTGATCCTCCTAATTTAGATTAAAATAACTGAACAATAACCTGCTGATACAACACCAGTTGGATAGGGAAGGTGTTTGACGACTGACTGTGGCAGGGATGGTAATCAATAAATCAATTCATCGTACGACAGATCGTAGTCGATCATTTTTCCAGCCTTAATATATCGTGGTTCAGAAATGTACAGCTCTATTATTATTATCTATTATCATTTTTGAAGAGCAGTTTTGGTTGTTGACACTGGATAGGCCATTGTAATTATTATTTTGGAGAGACAGGATCTATTTCATTGTTTTTGGTGCAATATCTTCTAACAGAGAGTCCTTATTTATTTATTTATTTATTTATTTATTTATTTATTTATTTATTATTCATTTCTTTGTTTTATTTATTTATTTACAAGTTCTGGTTCTGGACATTCCAATGTTAAAAAAGGTAAATTGTAGCATTTTAAAGGGTGCACTTGCATTATTATGATATATTAACATTACATAAGTGGTTATTTTGGCCTCGATAATATAATTTGTTGGACAATATATCGACCAGCTAAACGTGTCTGTGAATGACACCCGTGTAAAATAAACTTTGAATCTTAAACCTCTTCTGTGTAATTTTTCATGTTGAAGGATGTTTCACATCATGCTTTGACAGCTTTCTACGAATATCTCTCTGCTCTCCTTACCCAGTCATGTAACCTTGCTCCCCTGTGATTAATTAGCAAGTTAAATCATCGAGATCACGTCTTTGCTATCTGGACCGTGCTCTTGATTATGCAAATGTTTGACCGTTGTCTGGAATTGGACTCCTCTCTACCTGCCAGATCTGGTTAGATATTGGAACACACATGAACCGAACCTGGACCGCTCCCTTCATCGCTCTTCTCTCTGAGTTCAGCCACTCACAGTGCATGTGATCATTAATCTAGAGTGGATGCATTCCTATTTAAAAATAACAAAAAAAAGTTACTGACTTCATTTTGTGAGTTAGCTGGATCCCTATGTCCAACACCACCAGACTGCTGGGTAATTTCCACTCAGGCGTAAGCCTCCGTTTCTTATTGACCTTTTATGATTTAGCCTTGATTTGTTTTTGTCTGATTCGTGAGAACACTCAGTCCCATTCATCTCATAAGTGCAAGAGAGTGACTCTGCCTCTTAAAGGCCTTGCATAAACAGGATGTGTTTGTTTTGACAGCTGGACACATCTGCTGCCAACAGATACACAAGAAGCTCTTTCGTTTTGGGCGTTTTTCTCTTATTTTTGCTTTTCCTGATAAACTGGATGAAAAGAAAGCTGAACTCCCCCCACTGTTATCTGTTCCATTTGTTACTCGGAAGTTTCTCATTCTAAATAAGTTTCAATATTAGGACCCCCTCATCCAGGAAGGCCATGATATTTTACCTTTCAGGCTGAAGCAGACTGGGTTGGCTTTAAAAACAGTTATGTCACTGCCAACACGTCTCTGAACACCTTCAGATTGCAACAACTTTATGTTTTATTTTGTTTTCATCTTTGTGAAGCACTTTGTGATTCTATGTCTGTGATAAGTGCTATATAAATAACATTTGCTTACTTACTTAAAGAGTAATTCACCCCCAACTCAACTTTTTTATGCTGATAAACTGCATAAATGAGTGTCTAATTGTGATGTAGACATGTGTAGTCAATAATTTGGCCCTTTAGCGCATCTTAGTTAAAATTGAAATATTCTGCGAAGTCATTGTTGCGCCCTCTTCAGGTAAAAAACTCTACACTGCATTTTAATTTAAATCCGCCATCGCTATTGGCTAAGAGGTAACCTATGACGTTAGCTGGTACATTATGATGTGACGATGTCGTTGTGAGCCTGTGCGTATATTTGTTCTGCCTTCTTGGTCTGCTGGGCAACAGCATTTGTTGCATTTTTCAAACAGGAAGTGGTAGTGGCCTAAGACTCTGGTAGGGCGTGACTTGCTTTTGAACAAACGATTGCAGCATGCTTGCCACCTTGCAGCAACACAGGAGCTAGTACTTGTCCTTCTAACATGCAAGTCTTGCATTTTCTGTGACTTATGAAATAAACAAATTTTGGGGGCATTTTACATTTTTATTTAATATTTTTACAAATAAAACAAAAAAGAAAATCTACTTTTTAAAAATATTTGAGGGGAATTACAGGGAAAGTGAGAAACAGAACACCAATCCTAATGAAAAGCAGAAAACTAATCAAAAGGTGATGGACAGGTGTAAAAGGAGAAAAACTGTCATATTACACCGAGACTGCATTACAGGACTCTGAAAAACAGTGATGGTCAAACCTTGAGCTAAACAAGACATATAATTAATGTTCAAATAGCAAAAAATAAAAATCACAACACTTCTTCAATCTTCAATCACTAAAAACTAGAATATAATATTTTTTTCTATTGAATTTGATTAATTTAAATGTGTAAAAATTATGAACTTTGCGGATTTTTTAAAATGGTGTAACTGTCCAGAAAAGAGAAGATAATATTAATGAAAAATTCTAAATCCAGGTGTGAATAAATGCCAGAAAATATGGAATCGGTAACATGTGTTTGGACAAAAAGATACACATTCCTTCACGTATCTGGCTTGAGTTATTATCAGACACACGGTTAAGGACACAACTTTTGTGGATCATGCTCTGCCAATTTCTGAAATGTTCATGTTTCACATTTTCATTCTCATAATTCCAAACATTCCAGTGAGTTCATTTTATTTCCTGGCATTTGAATCATTTATCTTCTTACCCTGAGTGTTTTCCCCTATGAAACTGCTGTTTTGTGCAGGTATCAGACATCTGCCTAAAATATGACTACTCGGTGTGAATCACTCATTTAGGTTCACCCTTTTTCAATAAAGTGTTTTTTATTTTTTGTTTTTCCCGTGTCCTGTCTGGCTGTGAAGCAAACAGAATTAAAGTCTGCCTTACAGATTTACTCTCAGGTGGAGCATCAAAGCGTCTGCTCTTAATTTAACGCCTGATACTTATAATTTTATTGTTATTGTTTTTGAATGCTTGTAATTCTGACCAGACACGGAGACAGAGGTGAAAGAGAAAGGAAGAGACAAAAATTAACAATCAATGATGAACAGGGGTCTGCTTCTTGACCTGCAGAAGGAGAAAAAAAGAAAAGGGACACACAACAATGCAACAGGTGCAAACTGTCACTGCGTCAACCTGACGAGGAATATAAAATCATATAAAAAAATCAATAAAATCAACATTGTTTTACTGAACAATCATGATAATAAATCACAGTGCATTAAGGGTCAACCACAGCCTTAAGACCTGTGTTGAACGTGCCCAAGTCCATACTTATGAGAGCACCATGTGAGCACCTGTGTGTGTACACGCGCTTGTTTATGTAGAATAGACTAGAGTATCCTTTATTGTCACTGTACACACTCGTACAACGAAATTTGGAAGCCACTCCCGGGTGCTAGTTTAAAGAAATACATAACACTTAACAGTTAAAATTCAATCAGGACAAATACTTCCCTAAAGGAAATACATAACACTACAATAATTAAAATTCAGTCTGGACAAATCCTTCCTTCATAAATTATATGAAATTAGAACCACGCAGCTTGTGCAGTTCCATCATGGCTACACCTGCAAACATTAGATAAGAACATAAGCTTTCAAATTAGCACGTTCTTTTTGTTGTTAACCGCCATGATAGCCCTGGGAAAAAAACTGTCTCTGAAGCGGTTTGTCCTGGGCCTCTGGGATCTGTACCGACGACCCGATGGCAACAGCTGAAACAAGTGGTTCCCAGGATGGAACTTGTCCTTAATGATGTTGGAAGCCCTGCTGAGATAACAGGGGTATGCTAAGTCCTTCAGGCTGGGCAGCGAGCAGCCAGCAAGCAAGTGTATATTTAAGGTTTCTCTATAGGAGCGTCCAACAGAGAGTGTGAGGGGCCACAGATCTGCCCCCCAAAGATGTGTAGGAGATGGAGGGAGTCCAAGTCCCAGAGATTCAGGAGCTGCCCCAGAGCACAGGGACCCCAGGCAGACTGCAACCAGAAAAGCCCCTGGCCCCTCAAGAGGCGCAGAGGATTGCCCCGGGGGCCACAACCAGCAGCCAGCAGAGTCCCGGAACATATAAGTGACAAACCCACAGGCCCGCCCGCAGCCTCCCACCCCCAAGCCGGCCGAGCCCTGAACCCAGCGACCCGGGACCCAGGGGCGACCAGCCCCGCCGGAGACCCAACAGAGCCCAGGGACCCAGATCCCACCAGGCAGACACCGGGATTAATCAGGCAGACGCCAAAAATCTTAAACCCCCTGACCCGGGATCCGTGAACACTCAGGCAGACCAAGGCACCACACCCCACACCAAATGTGGCAGGGGGAGGGGAGGCGAAGGTGTGTAACATCAAAAGAAGTCCCAGGAGAGAGGAGGGGGTCAAAGGCCCCACCTGACATATACAGTCATACACAAACACTGTCACACACTCCCTCCCTCATGCTCACACATGCACATACAACCTAACCCCGGGTTTCCACCGGAGCCGTCAGCAGCACGTTACTGCAGCAGCACGTCTTGCTCGCGTAAGCTGCTGCTTGGTCCTTCCCACGAGACGCGAAGCAGCAGGGGAGCAGCTGTCACCGACCGAGCACGAAGTCACACGAGTGACTTCGTCAGTAAACACAACAACAAGCAGGAGAAAACTACAACATGGTTTGTGTTTTATGTTCTGTCCGATTTATAATCTCCGATACGGACCTGAAAAACAAAGGAGACCGCTAGCTAGGTGATAACTTCTCACGGGGCCGCACGGTTGGTAACTTTTTGTAAAAGTAAAGCAACCGGAAGGCAGTACGTTCTTTATTCTGAAAATCTTGGGAGCTTCTCTCCATTTCCGCGTCCTATTTCCTGTCTTTCCTTCCCCAAAAATGTCGAACTTGACCCGTTTCAGAGGCGTCGCGCGTAGAAAATAGAACCGGCGCGTAAAGGCCGCGACATGCTGCTCCTGAGACGCGGCCGACTCGCGCTGCTGACGGCTCCAGTGGAAAGGGTTCTGTTGACCACAGTGGTTCCTATCAGCAGCTATGACGTGCTGCTGCAGTAACGTGCTGCTGACGGCTACGGTGGAAAGCCGGGGTAAGACTTACAACAATGCACGCCAGACACCCACTCAGGCTCCCAATACACACCCTATTCACTCTGGTCCCGGTACTGCTGCACATGGGGTACAACCATCACTGGTTACCAGAGGTCGACCCTTACTGCTGGGGTGCTGATGAGCAGGCTCCCCCACCCAACACCGAGCAAAGCAACCCACCACCCAGACGCCAGCCAGACGGCCAGATTCCCCTCCTAGCCTCCAGCCCCAGGAAGCCAAGCGACAACAGAGCTTTAATAACAAAGAGTAAAGTGTTTTCTTGGCATAGTGACTCATTTCTGACCGGAATTCTCGATCAAATTCTTCATTATTTCATTTTGTGATTAGCTCCTTGTGTAGCATGGCTAAATTCACTTCTGCTTTTATTACTCTTAATGTATTTAAAAATGGTGCCAATCCAATTTTAGCTGCCTTTATCATTGTGTCATTTGTTTAAGTGTCTTCATTTATACACGCTATTTGTGATTGCATTAAAATTGCACAGGAGTTCACTTGTTTCTGGTTAATTTGTACTGGGAACAATTTAGCTGCTGCAGACTTCTCTCTCAAGAGCCACGTGAGGAGGCAATTTACTCTTGCAGAAGCTAAGAAAAGCTGTTAAGGTGGTATTGCCAGTTATTTACTTTTATCTCATTAACTGTTAGTGTTTTTGAGTTTTTACTGTTTTTGAAGAGTCACAGAACATTGTGCTCTATGATCATGTAAACACCAAAACTACCAAAAGAAAGAGTAGACTCACTTCCTACATCAGGAAGAATCAGCGTGTTTCTAGCCTTGTCAGTTCTTTCACAATCCGTTGTCACAGTGTGAGCTGCAGAAGCTTTGCCAGTTAGTGACTTGCTTTTGTCACAGCAGCATCCCAAAACGATCACCTAATTAATGGATTTTCTGCTTCCTGGTCATGTGATGTGTGACATACACTGGTGAAGATCAGCCGTATTTTTATTTTCACTGTGCGGGGGCTTGTTCCCAGGCCTCCCTGTTAAAAAACGCAACTTTAGTTGCCAATGACAGTTAATGAGTTAAGATTGTTGACAAAAGGTTTATTTTTAAGTGTTAGCTTTAAATGTGTGGTTGACTGAATAACCATTTTTTAAATTAATATTTCTAACTACATTCTGTCACTCAAGCTTTTCATGCAGGCTGAACATGAAAACTGTCTTCTAAACCTATTTCCTGCATTAGCTTCTGATAGAAAATTGACAGTGAAATGCTAAGATTAGAAAACCCTGACATGTCTATGTCACACTGTGAATTTGCATTTATAGCCACGCCCATCTTGGCTCAACCCCACCCACAGGAAAGCCTTTTTTGCAGCAAAGAGCGAGAGCGGAGAGTGTCTTTGTGATAGTGACTTTGTAACATGGCTGAACGAATTTTATTAGCCAATCAGAAGTGCGGTGTGTGCATATCACCAATAATAATAAACAATCCTGCTGTTTTCTGCCTACCTCTGCACCAGCAAACTTCTGCATCTCAGAATGGGAGCATCATAGCATTTTTTAGTGGCACTGATTTGCACTAGAGAACACTGCAAATGTATTGAATAAATGAAAAAAACACACATTTAAACACAATACTCAATGAGGACAATAGGACATGACTGCTTTTTGTTTATTTTACTGTCTGTATCTTATTTCTGTGTTATTGGCTGTATTGTGATTTGTTTTTATATTGGTTCAGTGCCTTGAATCATCTTGGCAGGTGTAGAAAACACGCTATATATTGTTTGGCCACCATTGGTTGCAAAAGTCCTCTTATCTGTCACTTGTTCAAACATCCATTTCCCAACCATCCACCCATCCTTTATCTGAACCCACTTGTCTATGCAGTGTCGCAGGTGGGCTGGTGCCTATCTCCAGCTTTCAACGGGCAAACAGGCGGGGTACACTCTGGACAGATTGCCAGTCCATCGCAGGGCACCGCAGAAACACACAACCAAGCACACACACACACACACACACACACACACACACACACACACACACACACACACACACACACACACACACACACACACACACACACACACACACACACACACACCTAAGGACAATTTAGACAGACCACTCAACCTGACAGTCATGTTTTTAGGTGTTGGGAGGAAGCCGGAGTACCCAGAGAGAACCCACACATGGCACAGGGAGAACATGCAAGCTTCTTGCAGAAAGGTATGTGAACCTAGGACCTTCTTGCTGAAAGGCAACAGTGCAAACCACTGCACCACTTTGCAGCCCTGTCCATTTTCCATATACTGATAATTTTTCAAACAAAGGCGCACAATTGCGGTGTCGTCTTCATGAATTGCACGTTTAAAGAGATTCTTGCTTTGATAAGCCTTCTGCTCCAGCAAAGACAATCTCTCAGCAGCAGTTTACCCCTCTCACAATTAAAACAAGTTTTGTATATAAAAACCACTTTCCATCTGCGTGAGAGTGGACCATTTTTTAGGAGTATTTACGTTTTACTGTCTTAAAGTCTAAACGTACGTGACTCAACAAGGGTAACATTCCAAAATCTCTTAGTCTGGAGTGCTCGAACGTCAACATTTTACCATTGGATGTACAACTGAATGAGCTCATTGTTTTTGTGTGTTACATTAATTAAAACTGATGTTCCAAACACAATTTACACTGGCTTTTAGTAAGCAGTGGAGTCACGCCAAATCGCAATGGCTTTTGCTTTGATGTAGCCATTAGCCGACTTTTTCTTAGATTTATTGATGAACACACTTTGTTTTATTGTTGGATGAACTTATTTCCTTCTCTGACTGAAAGAGATCTCTTTCTAGTTAAATTGTAATCATCTTATTTAACCAGAAATATAATTATAGTAATTTTGGAATTATGTTCAGGGCAAATCAACTGATGCTACTTGTTTTATGTAATACTGTGAGTGGCTAAAAACAATCGTATGATATTTGAAGAGATCTATTAACATGTTGCCCTTGTAATGCATCTGTGTTAAAGTCTCAGCATCTGGAGAGGGTACTATTTGATTACCTGTGGTTTATGTTGTTGCTTGCTATATTATTCAATTCAATTCAATTCAATTTTATTTGCAAAGCGCCAAATCACGACAAGAGTCGTCTCAAGGCACTTCACATAATAAACATTCCAATTCAGGTCAGTTCATTAAGCCAATCAGAAATAATGTTTCCTATATAAGGAACCCAGCAAATTGCATCAAGTCACTGACTAGTGTCAGTGACTTTACAGCAATCCTCATACTAAGCAATGTGCTGTAATGTTTATGTGTCTTTATGACACATAAAGAACTAGAGATCTGTATCGTCAAAAACATTCTATGTACTGTATTGGACGTTTACAATTGTGCATTAAAATGTTTTTGCATTCATAGTGGTAACTGAAATAGTTTGATGCTGAGATATGATTTCAAAACTCATGTTAAACTATTAAAATTTCAAGCTATTAAGCTTAATTAACATTAACTGATTTCCCTGCTTCCTTAATAAACTGGGATAATCTTACCCCTCCACTGACGGGGCCAAAGCTGTGCCCAGATTTATCAGGCTCCTCCAGATACAACGTGTAGAAATCTGGTCTGAGGGAAAATGTTTCTTGAGTCAAATAAATAAAACTTTTAGATCATTTTTCTCATTGTTGATAATTTGATAGAATGAACCAACCTCTCACTATCTGGCAGCTGCAGCCACTTCAAAAGGGTAAATACTCTTTCTTCAAATGGCACTTTTCTAGGGGAATAAAGAAAACATTTTATTTGTTGAACAAAAGCAAATATGTCGCAGTATGGGGCTGACTCTCATCTCACTGCCATTGCTTTTACTACTTCCAGGATTATCATAGTTAAAAATGGCCACCAGTACAGACCAAGCCTCAGGTTCTTCATTGCCTAAAACATGAGAAAGTCAACTTGATGAAGAAGAAGATGCTCATTTATTCAGCAAATACTTTTGAGGTGGAAGAAGGTTAAAGTTCTTTCCCTTGACTGCCCTATCTCATTTAGATAAACAAGCGGCATAACATGATGAACCATTGAGGTCATATAAACCACTTCCAACCTCAAAAACATAAATGCTGCGTCAACGGCTGATATCTGGTGCAGGAACAGAGATAAACACGCCTTTCGTCATGGATACCATCAGTAAAGATGCCAGGAAAGAGTCTTGGTGGATTTTTTCTCAGCAGAAGCCCAAAGTTGATAAAGGTGAAGAAAGTATGCCCAAAAGTAGGGCTTTCAGAGTATATATCCCAAACATTCCCACGTGTGGGGGAAGGAAAGAAGGATCCCATCCCCAGCTCTCAAATGGACTCATATGGTTGCAAACCACAGTCGAAGTTGTTGCGAAGCTCAAAATCACCAATGTTTTAATGTTTTTTATCTCGTGCACTTTCTGATTGCATGGACACGAAGGAGAGAACCCATGTCCTTCAAAATGTTGATGAAGAGAAGGAAAGCGTTTTAATGCCACAATGTACTGTAGATCATACCCCCTGCTAGCACTCATCTTAATGCTCAGGCAATCACACAAGGAGATAGAATAGTTATTTGATATCTTATAATCACTTTTGAGTATTTTATTATCACTTAAGATCCATAAGTTTAGCTGGTTTCGTAATTGCACTGTGTAATAAAGAATACTGACTCTGACTCAATCATTCAATCAAAGTATTAAAGGTCTTTTATTCTCGAGTCTCCTATTTTCTATAACTGAATAAAGAATGTTTATTCATGCATGCTATATAATGAAAGCACCATTTATTTACTCACTATGATTTGACAACTAAAGCTTCACATTTATTAAAATGCCTTTGACATAGTTTTTATTAAAGCTGCTAATATGGTCTCTCTTTAAGGTTAACAATAAATACATGTTTAAAGGCTGCATGAGGTTACACATTTGAACTCAGCAACATAGACCAGTAGAGCATTACACGAGTTAATGGTGGCCCAGGTCAAAGTGCACAAGGAGATAGGGCACCAGACCTCAGAACGGACTGAGAGACTTATGACCCGGATTAGGGCCGAGTGTCTCAGTTAGAAAAGAGCAATAAATAGAAGGAAGTGTGTTTTTTGTGCTGACATGATATTTTGCAGACTGCCTGGAAATGAGGTGCTTTTCATTCTATAGAAAGACGGACAACAGCCGACCAATGGGAAGAGACCACATTTGCACATTCCCTTAGTGATTGTAATAGTATAAAGCCCTGGGTCAGGAGACAGGCTTCAGTCGAACTCCCAAAAACCCTTTTCAGATTGACATTCTGGAACATGTGTGGACAATTCAGTCCGTTTTTTAACCAGAACTGTGTTTTCAGACACACCACTTTTGTACCGGAACTTGTCCTTTCGGCTGCCTTCACACAGCGGGGGGGTGGGGGGGTACACCTGTGCACTACTCATGATGTCAGATCAGCATCTTGATGTGACACACCTGTGAGGTGCATCATTTACCCAAACAAAGCCATTCAGTCAAACATGGCAGACGAAGAGATGGAATTCCTCTCACTGATCGGACTTATGTTAAGCATAATTGCGCACACGAAGACGCATAAGAGACCTGGATGATGAAGCTCAATGGTTAAAAGGAATCACGGAAGTGGTGTGAAGGGCTTCGTCGCGTGTCTAGGAGACGGTACCGTAGGAGGCGAGCTGCCATGGTTTGCCGCATGCTACAGCAGTGGGCTATCTAGGTGCGCACAGCGTCCCACGGTCCCCTCCTCCTCCCCCTCCTCCCTGTCCGGAACTCAGCCTCACCAGTCTGAAGCAGCCACCCTGTTCATGACAAGTCCGGACCTGTTACTAGGGGCTTCGTCCGGTTTAATTACGGAAAAGTTTATCCGGATGTTTGTATTCGGACACAAAGGTCTTACAGACAGAGTCCTGAACATTTCTGTTTTTCATGGCCTGTCTGAAGGGGGCTAAAGAGTCCTCTGAAGGAGATGTATGGTGGTCAGGGACTTAAACGGCGACCGACCCAGGATCCTGTAAACTATCATTTTCTGTGGCCTAGTCAGGGCTTAACTTTAAACAATTGTTTTCATTCTCTTTTACTATTCACCTAGGAACACGTACTCAACAGTACTAAAGTACAATAAAGTAGAATTTGTACTTTGACCCAATTCAATTAAATTCAATTCAAAAATACTTTATTAATCCCAGAGGGAAATTGATTAACCAATCCCTGAGATGTAGCATGCTGACCTTATTATGGCACTGGGGGTGAGGGATGTGTGCACTTTTTGGGGATCAGCAGCCAATGTTACTTTGACGTAACACTTGACCCTCCAGGGCTTTGGGTTGAACCTCTGACGTTCTGATTAGTGGAGAAACGCTCTTTCCTATTGATACACAGCCCCACCACAATAAAACCACTAGTGTTGATCAGATCCAAGAAAATAGAAAACTTCATCTGGGTCAGACTAAGCTGTCAGTAAAAGTCAGACTACAAACGACTCTAAATTATCCGAACCAGTTAGATCAAAGTAATAGGAAATCTCGTCAACAAGCAATGACGCTGTCATGCATAAAGCGAAGGTAAAAGAAACCCTCTATAACTCTAACTTGGCAACTTCTTTCAATTATATAAACGTTGGCCACATCTGTTAGTATCACTTTCCAATGAGTAACAACCTGTCAGCATGAATTCACCACACGTCCGCCCAGGAACTCTAGGCAGTCTGGGAGTACATACTCCGAGGCAAGTACTCCTGGAAAGCGATCCTTTCAGCCTGGCCTAGTGAAATGGAGACGCACCATGCGGTGAACATCTGGGGAAGATTACCAGGAATCTCCAGACAATGAAAAGTGCCTATTAAACATAATAATCACCTCTTTAGCATATTTTGTGTAGATTTTTTTAATTTCTTACCCATCATAAGGTTTGTAAAGCTCAGGAAAGCTTCCATTTATTTTGACATCTGATCCAGGCCAGAAGAAAGTCCCAGACTTTAGACCCTGGTAGCTTGCTGTGTGCCAAACCTGTTGACACATGGACAAATCGGGTCTTTGTTAAATTGTGAAAAAAATAAATAAATTACAAATCATTAAACAGGACTGTTGTTGTTTTACTTATTTTTTATTAGGTATATATTTTTTTATTGGGTTGGGGGTTTATGCTTCTCCGTGTGCTCTTTCTGACTATGTGTTCTTTCACTTAGTAGAAGAAAATAAACAAAAACAATTTACCAAAAACATACACTCAACAAAAATATAAATGCAACACCTCTGTTTCTGCTCCGATTTTTCATGAGATGGACTTAAAGATCTAAAATTCATTCCAGATACAAAATATTACCATTTCTCTCAAGCATTGTTCGCAAATCAGTATAAATGTGTGATAGTGAGCACCTGTGCTTTGCTGAGATAATCCATCCCACCTCACAGGTGTGTCACATCAAGATGCTGATCTGACATCACGAGTAGTGCACAGGTGTACCTTATACTGCCCACAATAAAAGGCCACCCTGGAATGTGCAGTTTTTTGCTTTATTGGGGGTCTGTGGACTCAGAACCGGTCAGTATCTGGTGTGACCACTATTTGCCTCATGCAGTGCAACACATCTTCTTCGCATAGAGATGATCAGATTGTCAATTGTGGCCTGTGGAATGTTGGTCCACTCCTCTTCAATGGCTGTGCGAAGTTGTTTGATATCAGTGGGAACTGGTACACGCTGTCGTATACGCCGGTCAAGCACATCCCAAACATGCTCAAAGGGTGACATGGCCGGTAAGTTTGCTGGCCATGCAAGAACTGGGACATTTTCAGCTTCCAAGAATTGTGTACAGATCCTTGCAACATGGGGCCGTGCATTATCTTGCTGAAACATGAGGTGATGTTCATGGATGTACGACACAACAATGGGCCTCAGGATCTCATCACGGTATCTCTGTGCATCCAAAATGCCATCAGTAAATTGCACCTGTGTTCTTCATCCATAACAGATGCCTGCCCATACCATAACCCCACCACCACCATGGGCCACTCGATCCACAACACTGACATCAGCAAAGCGCTCACCCATACAACGCCACACACGCTGTCTGCCATCTGCCCTGAACAATGTAAACCGAGATTCATCAGTGAAGAGAACACTTCTCCAACAAGCCAGATGCCATCGAATGGGAGCATTTGCCCACTAAAGTTTGTTACGGCGATGAGCTGGAGTCAGGTCAAGACCCCGATGAGGACGACGAGCATGCAGTTGAGCTTCCCTGAGACGGTTTCTGACAGTTTGTGCAGAAATTGTTTGGTTATGCAAACCGATTGTTTCAGCAGCTGTCTGAGTGGCTGGTCTCAGACGATCTTGGAGGTGAAGCTGCTGGATGTGGAGGTCCTGGGCTGGTGTGGTTACACGTCGTCTGTGGTTGTGAGACCAGTTGAATGTGCTGCCATATTCTCTGAAAGGCCTTTGGAGACGGCTTATGGTGGAGAAATGAACATTCAATGCACGAGCAACAGATCTGGTTGACATTCCTGCTGTCAGCATGCCAATTGCATGCTCCCTCAATGCTTGTGGCATCTGTGGCATTTTGCTGTGAGACAAAACTGCACATTCCAGGGTGGCCTTTTATTGTGGGCAGTATAAGGTACACCTGTGCACTACTCATGATGTCGGATCAGCATCTTGATGTGGCACACCTGTGAGGTGGGATGGATTATCTCAGCAAAGTAGAAGTGCTCACTATCACACATTTAGACTGATTTGTGAACAATGTTTGAGAGAAATGGTAATATTGTGTATCTGGAATGCATTTTTGATCTTTAAGTCCATCTCATGAAAAATCGGAGCAGAAACAAAGGTGTTGCGTTTATATTTTTGTTGAGTGTAGATTCAGCAAAACACAATTTCTGTGAGCAGTGTTGCCAGATTGAGTGGTTTACCACCAGTTGGGCAGTTTATTTGCTTTGGGTGGGTGGCCATAATTTGGGCTGGTTTGGAGGAAGTTTGGCGGTTTTTGTATCAATGTATTAAAACACATTTCAGCCAAAAATGTATCATTATTGGTTCATAGCAACGTCCCTAATCACTCCCCCACCACTGACTGGCTATTGTAATCTGATAGGGCGTTGACAATGGAGAGGGGATGGATTTGCATCTAACGTCTCAGTGTGCTAGTTTCAGCAGCAGGCAAACAGATGAAATCAGTGTGGCTCACAAACTTAGCATGGTAAGATGCCGAAGTGGGGAAAATAGAAGAAAAGTTACAGGAAAGAGTGGGAAAGTAACAAAGATCTCAAATTTTGGATAGCACCATCTAAAAATGATGGCGGCAAGGCTTATTGCAAAGTTTTCAATACGGACTTACGGGCTCACCTAAAAGACCTCAAGGACCACGCCAAAACAATAAAGCGTTAGATGCGGTGCCTTACCATTGTCAAGAATTTCATGGTGCCACCAGCAAGCAATGCTACCACCATGATTTATGACGACCAGAAACGCTGTGAGCTCCGCATTGCAACATATGTAGCTTGTCATACTTCAATCAATGCAGGGGACAATATGTCTGACATTCTGCAGGATGAGACTGGAGCCTTTCAGATTTACAGAACCAAGTGTACGGCTGTTATCAAATCAGTTTTGGCACAGTTCTTTCAAAAAGAACTTCGAGGGGCCATCGGTGACTCACCATACGCTCTTTATTTGGATGAAACAACTGATATCACTGTAAAGAAGTTACTTTGCATATGTGTTAAGTACCAGTCAGAAAAACACATGCGGTTTGTCAGCACTTATCTGGGACTAAGTGAACTTTCAAGCTCAGATGCTGCAGGAATTGTTGATGCAATTATAGAGTTTTTCAAGCTGTATATTGCAAATATGGTTGGCATTAGCAACGAACGGAGCAAGTGTCATGGTTGGAAGGCCTCATTCTGTGTACACACTCCTCAAAAAGAAACACAGTGCCTAACCTGCAGTTAATCAGGTGTGTATGTCACTCATTGGACATTGTGGCTCCAAAGGCAATGCAGCAACTCCCAAGCAATATTGATTGCACGATCAAGGAGACTTGTAACTGGTTTGCACATTCAGCTAAATGTCAAAGTGACTAAAGGTCCATTAATGAGACAATTAAGGGGGTGTCCTTTAAAGCTCATCTCGCCAAGTCTCACTTGCTGGTAAGCAGATTGCATTGATATGATTCTTGACCAAGAAGACGCTCTCACTTTACATTTTAGTTTAGTAGCCAGTTCTGAGCACTGCTGTTCAGTATGGCTCCTGAGTGAAATGTATAAAGACAAGACCAACAGTTTGGATTTGCATTTTCTCCGTCCTGTGCTGTCAGAGATAAAAGCAGTGAACATGTGTTTTCAGTTGGAGACGGGGGATAACCTTGCTGTGTTTCAGGACCTCAACAGGCTGTATGTGTCCACATTGAAACTTGACCTAAAATCATCAAGTATCTACCTGTCACCAGCAGATGCTGACTTAGGGACCACGTTTAGTCAGATGTTAGATGTCAGTTCTTTCTCAGCTGAGAAAAAACATGCAGGTCTGACACAGTGCATGGACTCATTAAAATAACTCTTGGCCCAGTAACTGCGCTTACCCACATCCGTGAAGTTGCTCCAAAAGCTGGAGCTTCTGTGTCCTGCAACAGTGATGTCCACTAGGGTACAAGTCCTGCCAAAGGAGGTTTTTTTCAGGCTCACAAGAGTTATTGGAGACACAGTGGAGAAATGTTGCCTCTGCAGATTTCTCTCCTGACCTGACGATGGATGCATTCTGGTTGGAGGTGGAATCTTTCAAAGATGCTGGAGGAAACCAATGCTTTCAGGATTTAGCACTTGGAGCAATGCAACTCCTTAATCTCCCCCTCTCAAATGCACCTGTTGGAAGAGCTTTTTATCAGGTTGACCTGATTCAAGAGAACTCCAGAAATTGTGTGGGCTTGGCGCTTCTGTCAAGTTTGATGAATGTGCGTTCAGGACTAACAAGGACTGGATGGACATAGCAACATTCCATCCTCCCTGACTGCTTTGGGGGGATTTAACTCAACCATGTACTGATCAGAAATCACAATGGATTGTATAATAGTTAAGTAAAAGGAGGAAAACTCAGTGCTCAGATGATCCACACTCAGATGTGGAGTTTCAGCCAACAGTCTATTCTACATGAAGGTAAGAATTTTAAATTTAAATCTACCAGTAATTAAATGTTGTAGTATGTTAAATGTGAAGAGTAAATTCAATCTGCACACACACGTGGGAGGAGATGGCATGTCAGGTGATGGGCTGGCTGGTTGCCTGGTTCAGACTTGTTTCAGGAGAACAACTGGGCGATTTGTGTTGGATTGTAGCTTTTTGAAAACCGTTTGTTAAATGTATTTGTACATAGTATTAATGTGCATTAATGCTCATACAGTTATTATACCACCATATAGATTGGGTGGTTTTTGGGGTGTTGTGGCTGGTTTTCACATAATTTTGGGCTGGAAAACCTTGTCTCTATTTGGCAACACTCTCTGTGAGTCAGAGTAGGTTGAACTGAAGAGGACTCACAGGTTGTCCATGATACCAGGCTGGGTTTTCTTTCTCAGGACTGGACAAGCTGAAACTGGCATCCAACACTGGATCGTACATGCTGTTGTCAATCAAACCATTGGACTCTGGATACAATCCCTAAAAAAGAAATGCCAGGAATCACTGATAAATATTTGATGACCAATACACTGAATAATAATTAATAAATAATAGTGAGTCATGTAAAAGCACTCTTCGCCTGACTACCTTTTTCTAAATGCTAACTGGCATGAAGATGATATCAGATTTAAATGGATTCCCGCTTTTGATGTGTATTAACATTTATTTGGAAGAAGAGAGGCTCAGAAATGTCAGATGACTCAAATTTAGATAATCTCATCTAAAAGGCATGCTTAGCAACGCCGTGAATGTTTAATTTAATGCTAGGGTGAGTTTTTTTTTTACTAAAACAATGGTTCAGTGGTGGGGAAAAAACCCAAATTGGAAATGATGTCTGCATGGAACGTTTCAGTTTCCTGCTGATAAACTTGTTGACCTTGAGGCATCGTTGTGAAAAAAAAACATATTTATCTTGAGTCTTCCTTGGAATAAAAGTTCAGTTTGTGTGTCACTGCTGCTAATGTGTGATGGATTAGTTCCAGCATGATATCAGCATGGCAAATGACCAAGTGCAATTTCTAAAAGTACTCACATGACAAGCAACTATTATGTAAAGATGTTAAATGGAAAATTGATTGACAACTGAATAATAGAAAGCCATGTAAAAGCATTCTTGCCTAATATTTGCCTGACTCAGTTTTGGCATGAAGACAAATTTGCTGTCAGACTGGTAATATTTCCTATCTTGAGGTGTGTAAACGTTTTTAGGCTAGTTTCAATAGAATCTAGAGATCTATTGATGCAAAGCTGAGTAACCGCCGATGCATCAAATCTAGACCCAGTCATTAATTTTACAAACCCTCAGCAAAAATATGAGTGTTTTGAATTTCAGCACGCCAAGTTTCTTTACCGTAACAATTGTGTAGTGATTGGGAAAAGTCTTGCTTGGAAATGCTGCTTGCATGTAGGGAGCTGACGTTCCACAGTTTCCTGCAGACACCAAAACACCGTATGACCTCGGGGCATCGCTGTGGACACAATTTCTTTTTTCTTCTTTGGATTGAAAGTTCAGTTTGTGTGTCATTGCTGCTAATGTGGGTTGGGTTACTTCAAGCATTGTCTCTGCATGGCTAATGGCCAAGGACAACTGTACTTGCGTTCTGACACATCGTAAATAAAGTTCAACAGGAGGTCGAGTTTAACAGAGTAAAAATAAATTTTACAAACTTTTTTCATGATTTTTTGATAATAAAGAAACATGCATGTGCTGTAACTGAGTGTTTTCTTGAATTATAAAAATTTTATTTAACTGAGTTTGTCCAGAACAGGGATGAGAGTGTTCCACGTCTGCAGGTATTCGGCTCTCAGTCCGTCCAAAGAAACAAGGAGCAGTGGCTGTCGCTTGAAGCTATAAGAAAAACAAAATAGTGAACTGATTAAACATTGATGTGACCATGCTTTGGTTAAAATAACAGAGTTGCTGTCACTGCATAACAATCAGATCTGTAATATGATTTGAAGAATTTTTTAGTATTTCCACTGAAATCCTTCATATTACACCAGGTAATTCGACAAAAACTAACATTGAACATCTTGTTCTTCAAAGAGAAATTTGAGATTATGGAAGTATTTTTCATAAAAATTTACTACGTGTATCAAAATCTATTTTTGAAGCACATAATATGGAAGCCCGTCACTCTAATAAATAGCTAAAGCCAGGAATACACTGTGCAACTTTTCATTGAAAGGATTGCTTGATGCACATTATTTTATTTCACATAACTATTTGGGAGTGGTGGGACAGTAAAATAAAAGTAAATTATACAAATAAAAACAAAAATCTCGTGTGAATAAAAACATATCTAATGTATTTAGGAAATCATATTCTGCACACAGCCAACGTCCTAGTATGAGGAGTCAGTGTTTCGGGTAGTTAAATGACCTTACCTTGCAGGACATTTTGGTGTTGAGAGGTCTTCACATTTATCCTCCACCCATTGTGTTTCTCCTATAATAAGGCAGAAAACATGGTGACTACTGAAAAACAGTCTTCTTTTATACTGCTCAACACATTATTCAAAATCTCGTGATTGACTCATTCACTAATAATGACGACTAAAGTCGTCATTTGTAGTTTTTTACTGTTTGGGCATCGGAACGAGCCCCCGCACCGTGAGAACAAACATCTCAGCTCTGAAGCCGAATTTTCATCCGCATACGTCACACGTCACGTGATCAGGAAGCAGAAAATCCATGTGTTAGGAGATCGTTTTGGGCTGCTGCTGTAAAAAAAGTGAGGCACGAACCGGAAAAGCGTCTGTCGATCACAATTCGACAACGGATTATGAAAGAATGGATAACGCGCGGATTCTTCCTTATGTAAGAGGTGAGTCTCCGCTTTGTTTTGGTTGTTTTAGCGTAACATCATCCTAGCGTGCAACGTTCTGCGACTTTTAAACAAACAGTAAAAATGGCCAGAAACGCTGGCAGCGAAGGCCTTTAGCGATCAGCAAACGGCTGGCAATTCAACAGTAATCACATGACTAAACAGGAACTGAATCTTTGTTTTGAGTTGTGGCTTCCAAATGTGTTTCATCTGTACGTAGCGTGCCAAAAGTCCATAGATTTCATCAAAATGACCAGAGTTTAACGTTTTAACTTACACGCCATACTCATACGGTCAGACCACGCTGACATCGCGGTGCAAATATGGAATCTATGATCTTGACTAATGTCCAAAACTAATCTTGTGAGATATCACACAGGGTATCAAGAGGCTGCAGAAGATGTGAGACTTCATGTCAATCTTCTCTGAATGAAGTTAATCTTTTCTGGCTCATAAAATGACTTTATAAATTCATAAGATACATATAATCATGTTTTGTTGAATTGACAATATGTTTACATCCAAAGTGTTTTAATGTGTCCAATACTCTATTAATGAATGATGAGTTAACATGAATGTTTATTCCTGTAATAATTTATTTCAGATCTTAAATCACACCAGATTAGTATATTTATTGGTATATTCACACATTAATAATAATATTATGAATGTTTAACATATTCACATGTTTAATGTGATTTACTCCACATTAGGTGAATAAACTCTCTAAGTGTTTAGAGAAAGGAGTGGTGTCTGAGATCTTTGATAAACACCCACTTTAACTTGTCAAACCCTGATTTGTCCAAATTGATAAACAATAGTTAATAAAAGCTAGTTCACTCCCTGAACAAGCCAGTTCTTTCGAGCTACCCGGGTCGGCCGACGAGGTAAGCGAGGCACAAGGAACCATCCTCTCCTTTTGATCAATAACTTCTTTGCAAGCTGCATCTGATGCAAAGTCGATCCGCCAGCCTCTTGCGGTCACCTGGAAGGTATCACTGATTTGTGTTTGGGGCAGAGCTACAGCTCCAATACCTCAGAGGTCATCGCCACTGGCAGTCTGTCTGTACTGACCTCTCTGATCTCCTGGATCACACAAGGATCTTTACCCAAGGGTTAGTAGACTCTGCACGCTGGCGCCAGATGGTTTTATGAATAATTGACATTTTATTTAAACCATACAGTCAGACTGATTTTACAACTCAGACATCACAAGTTTCTAAGACACTTACTAAAGTTTTGCTACATAACATCTAAGCTTACATTCAGTCATTTCATTCATTGTCTCAGTCATCTTGTTTCAACCATCATTCATCATAATTTGTTTTGTGTCATCATTAGTTTAGAAACATAGTATTAAATTCATTTTTATAAACTATACCCTTGACAGAATTATTATGAAGTGTGTGTTTCCCTGACCGTTCAAAGAAGCTAAGTTCATATTAAATCAAATAAAGACCAATAAGATTGATAATTAATATTTATGTGGAATTTCACATCTTATTGATCATTCAGTTAAAGTAACCACTCCAACAAACAGATCCCTCTTACAAACTTACCTCACATGAATCTTGTACACATCTGAGACTTAAAAAAAATTCCCCAAAATAAAGTACCGGCAAGAGACAAGAGGCAGCTGTTGTCCTTATAAACATCTAAAAGGTGCTGCACAATACTGAACTTTGGACATTTAATTATAACACAGATTTAGTAACCATATGGCACTTTCACTCATCAAATCCTATGACTTATAAACAGAGACGCAAGTCCTTGAGCTCACAATAAGCACTGGAAAAATTAAAAACCCTTGGTAACACTTTAGGGAACAGAAATTGACCATTAATTAGCTGCCAATTAATATACAAATTAGTGGACTACTAAGTCTGAATTAGTCACCATTAAGCTATTATTAGGTGCTTATTACCAATGCTTTAATTCTAATATTAATAGGCCATGAATTAAGAGTTTTATCAAAAGAAGCCATTCATAATGGTTTGTTAACTGAAAATAAACGGTTTGTTGCTGATTAACGCACACATTAATTAGCTCTAATCGATATGTGGCTTTTAACAAAGTAATTCAATGGGAATAGTTCTTCTGCATTAATAACCAAACATATTATGTTCTGCTAGTATGTAAATAAACACCAAACTCCATGTTAATAGCACCTAAACAACAATCAATTAACCACTTGTAAGCAAGAATATGTTCCCTATTCTAATCTAAAGTCAGATTTTGTTCATACCTAATTACTAGTAGTTTAGTATTAATTAACAATTTAAAGGCAAGAATATGTTCCCCGTGAATTACTTAGTTTAAAGCCACATATTGATTAGAGCTAATTATAATATGCATTAATCGGCAACAAACCATTTATTTTCAGTTGACAAACCATTATGAATGGCTTATTTTGATAAAACTCTTAATTTTTGGCCTGTTAATGTTAGAATTACAGCATTAGTAATAAGCTGTTAATAAATGCCTAATAATGACTAGTTCAGACTTAGTTGTCCACTAATATGCATATTAATCGGCAGCTAATTAATGGTTAATTTGTGTTCCCTAAACTAAAGTGTTACAAAAAAAATGTATTTTCATTTAGGAGATTACTTGCACTTGATTTTCTCTAAAGCCTTACTGTGGCAGACATTTTTGTAGTTTGTGCAGCAGTCTCCCGCAGACAGACAGTCGTCAGAGCAGTGACACTTGCTCTCCGTCAGCCTGGTTTCACCACAGCGCAGCTGTGTGCATTCCCACTGCTGGACTGAACAGGAAATAAAAAGGTAAGTAGAAAACTGAACTCTATTAATATCAAAATAAAATTCAAAAAGTAGAGAAAAGACAGTTTTTATAGCCAGGTGTGTCAGTTGTGTTTTGAATTTTTTTTTATTTTATTTAAAAAAGCTGGTAAAGCAAAAACCATAGACATACCATACCATTTATTTCTAAAGCACATTTAAAAACACAGCATGACAGCTGACAGGTACAAAGATAAAACACAGTGAGTGAAACACAACAGGAGCAGCAATAAAACTAGAAAACATCAACAATGAGAGAAGGCCATGTCATTAAAGTATGTCTGATTTGAAACGAGAGAGGGAGGCAGCCTGACTGACAGACTGAGAGAGGGAGTGTAATCTATAGAGTGGGGGCGGCAGACATAAAAGCCCGCTTACCCTGCAATATACATCTCATTGGTGGTATACAAAGCAACAGACGATCACCTCAGAGCCTGGTTCGGCACGGAGGGATTAATCAAATCAGAAAGATTCCCTGGGGCAGAGCCATGCAGAATCTTAAAAACAAAAGTCAGGATCTTGAACTTGACACGGAAATTTACTGGTAACCAGTGCAGATGTGCCAAAACCAGAGTGATGTGAGTACACCTGTTAGTATTACCCCAGCTTTCCACAGGAGCCGTCAGCAGCACGTTACTGCAGCAGCACGTCTTGCTTGCGTAAGCTGCTGCTTGGCCCTTCCCACGAGACGCGAAACAGCAGGGGAGCAGCTGTCGCCGACCGAGCACGAAGTCACACGAGTGACTTCGTCAGTAAACACAACAACAAGCAGGAGAAAACTACAACATGGCACCAAGAGGTTTGTGTTTTATGTTCTGTCTGTTTTATAATCGCCAATACGGACCTGAAAAACAAATGAGACCGCTAGCTAGGTGATAACTTCTCACGGGGACGCACAGTTAGTAACTTTTTTAAAGTAAAGCAACCGAAGGCAGTACGTTTCTTTATTCTGAAAATCTCTGTAGCTTCTCTCCATTTCCGTGTCCGATTTCCTGTCTTTCCTTCCCCAAAAATGTCGAACTTGACCCGTTTCAGAGGCGTCGCACGTAGAAAATAGAACCGGCGCATAAGGGCCGCCACATGCTGCTCCTGAGACGCGGCCGACTCGCGCTGCTGACGGCTCCTGTGGAAAGCCGGGGTTAGTCAAGAAACTGGCTGCAGCATTCTGAACTACCTGTAGTCTATTTAAAGCCAAAGCAGGGACACCAAATAGGATAGAGATGGCATAATCCAAGTGGGAAGTAGTAAAAGCATGAATGACAGATTCCAAGTGCGGGCGCTTCAAGATCAGTTTTAGACTAACTGAACGGCGCAGTTGGAAGAAACAAGACTTAACCACAGCATTAATGTGAGGAACCATTGAGAGACCTCCATCAAGCTTGACCCCAAGACTAGTCACACATTGTTTAGGGCTAAACGTGAGAACAGAAGGGACAGGAGAAGAGTCTAGAATGACTACGGGGGTCCGAATATTGACAACCAGCCAACCCATCACCTCCGCTAAGCGTTTGTCAAGGAGTGAGAGGGCATTTGGGTAATTCATGGTCAAGTAGATCTGACAGTCATCTACATAAATATGGTAAGCAAGGCCATATTTCTCCAGAATTTTGCCCAAGGGAAGGATATAGATTGAAAAGAGAAGAGGCCAGAGAGCAGAACCTTACAATACTCCCAAAGGGAAAGAGAGAAATGGAGATTAGCAGTCGTTATTCTGAAGCCTGAAAGTACTGTCAGAAAAGTAAGAGCGGAACCACTCAAAAGTTGTGCCACTGATGCCTACCCATGACTAAAACCTATCAAACAAAATTAAGATGCTCAACGGTGCCAAAAGTAGAGGAAAGGTCTAATAAAGGATCAGCAAATGTTTCCTGGTGGTCTTCAAGCAAAGAAGAAAGGATAACTTCTAAAACTACATCTTACTTGGAACAGTGCAGATGTCATAATAGTCATGACAACAGCTGTTGCTGGTGTAACAGTTTTCATCACACCTGCAGCCGGGGACCTCATCGTCAAAAGGCTGGTAGCATCTGTCCCTGCAGGAAGTCTGGGGGACAACTGAAAGACGAGGACATCTTGATTTTTGACTGACTGTTAGAAAGGACTTCAAAAGGGTGCAGTAATGGGATGATCAATCATGCATTCACACGTCTTTTAAACTGCAACAAAACATCTGACAAAATAAATTGTTTCTGTCACAAACGTAGAAAAGCCCTAATCTTAATGCCAGCTGAAAGTTCTATACCGCTCTTTTCCATGTTTCTTTTTTATTGAGTGCCTCTTTTATGTATTGAAGTTTTTATTTAAGGTCCCCTTAAGACACTATTTATTTGTTGTCTTGACTGGAACTAGAGTACAATCTCAATTTATTATAAATATAGTTTACCCTCGTAAGGCTGCGTCAGTCTACAGTCTAAAGCGTCCTTGGTTTCAGTTTTGAGGGGCAGACAAAGTATCTTGTGCTAGTTGCGTGTGTCTGTCTGATGTCAAATGCAGCTAAGCTTCCTCCACAGCCTCCCCTACCGCGACTGTATGAACCTGGGCCCTCTTCGGGTATCACGCGCCGAGAGCACCCAGGCCTGTTAATGACTAACTACCGCCTGTTCTCACAACACATTTTTGTTAAATTTGACCCCGCAATGGCGTATACTCAGAAACTGATGAGTGCCTTTGGCAACCTCTCAGAAACCGGGGCCCACTGGACTCGCACAATGACGTGGCACTCGGAAGCTGACGTCTCTCACATACTACTCCAGGTGCTTAAATTCACAGTCCTCCTCTGACTGTTTTCTTCACTGCATGCTTCAACTGTTGTTTGTCTCTTGGGTTGGTGTTTGTCCTGTTCCGTCACTTCTCTGTGTAGGTGGCCTCCTTAAGGGACTCGGTCCGTAGCTTGGGAAACCACTTATCTAGAGGTCTTGCACCAACGGCGCCAGTCTGTGATAGTCCGGCTGACCAGGAACTTCCGCCTGCGCCGGTTGATCCGGTTCGTCCGATTCAATCTTCACCTCACAAAGGCGGGTGATTTCATTTGTTTTAGATTTTTCTGTCCCATAGTTCTCTCTGTCGGGTTACACAAGTTCTATTTGTGTTTGTACACGTGAACATGGATATACTTCCTGTTTAAACATGACGTGCAGACTTGGGTGACTTGAGATGGTCGTGCTGTGGGTTCCTGTAGTTCTGTGACGACTAAGTCAATAACAGTTAAAGCCGAGTAATCCAGCTAACTGTTGTGTTAATCCTAATTCCATTTTCTCTTATTTTTCAGTTCTTAGATCCTTTGGGTTTTTTCAATAGTTTTACATAATTTATCTGCTTTAAGATCAATTTTGGTTCAACTTTACAATACTAATCGCTGGTTCCTTATGTGGTACATTCACAAATACTGTAGGTAGGATTACTGACACTGATTAACTTCTTGTGTTCTTCTTTTAATTTATTTTTAATTATTTTAAGAATACATTTCTTACAGCAAATGTGTGCCGTAATCAAAGCTAAAGGTAATCCAACAAAATATTAGTGTGTGAGATTTTTTTGGGCGGCGACTGTTTTTTTGGCCAGGCAGTATAGAAAAGGATGGCTTCCTAGGCTAGGTTAAAACAGCAACAATGTAAGTATGGATCAGGAAAAGTTTCCTGTGAATGCCAATGTTCCTGTAAATACTTTACCTCATAGTTTGTCCCGGTTAAGTACCTCTTAAAGCGATAAGTAATATTTACACAATCTTTAATAATGCCTAATCAACTTTTTTATCTAGCATTTGTTAGACACTTATAAAACGTTATCTTTCTGGGTCATCAGACTTCATGTGTGGTTCGTTACTAGCATGCAATGTAAACCTAAAAAGCCGTGATGAGTTCAAATGAAATGAAGCAAAACTTGCTTTATGAATGTCAGAGAAAACGTTTGTGAGGTATCTGAGCAGGCTGAGGCATGCGTGCTTGCATCCTGTGCATGTGCCTGTGTGTGTGCGTGTGTGGGTGCGCATGTATGTGTGTGTGTCTGACTTCACCTTTGCTTTTACATCTCTCCAATTCCAGTCCAAGACCAAGTCCAAGACCAAGGATTAGGGTCACAATGGATGTGGCCAAGACACCTATCTGTCACACGCACAAAAGAGAACATTTAAAGTTGTGTTAGTGATCACATGTTGAGCCATATATTTTATATAGTTGTAGATAAAGGGACATACACATTTATACATTTTGAAAATCTATTTCTCTCTGTATCAAGCACGTGACTCTTCTGCAATATCCTCCAAGAGGAGTTTTATTCTCAACAAATTTGAAATGAAATGACTTGGATTTTTAAAGATAAATGGATTTAAGTAAGTTAAAATAACTTATATACATTTTGAAAATCTATTTCTCTCTGTATCAAGCACGTGACTCTTCTGCAATATCCTCCAAGAGGAGTTTTATTCTCAACAAATTTGAAATGAAATGACTTGGATTTTTAAAGATAAATGGATTTAAGTAAGTTAAAATAACTTATATACATTTTGTGGTAATCATGTCACAGTGAAACTTTACACATAACATCAATTTTTGCAAGAGGAATCTAATAATCAGTGTATTTATGTTTACAATGAATATGCATAATAAGTCATGACACCCTATAAAATGATAGGCAACTTTTCCATAAAGCATTGCACTGTACTTTGTCACTCTCTCATTCATTGTGCACAAATAAAAAGATTGAATATACCAGGTTTTCCATCAAGCAATCAAAATCCTTATTACTATATAAGAAATGCTGGACATTACAGCTTCTCAAAAAAAGTCAAATGACTTCAGTGTTAAAACTAAATGCTAATATTAAAACCATTTCAGACCAAAGAGAAATACTCACAATGATTTTCTTCTTGTTTTTCTGTGCCTCCTTCTTCCAATCCATGTCTATAATAGGTCTGATGGCTTCACACAGGCAGACGGAAAAGGAAACAGAAAAGAGGAGATATCACTACGGTGACCTCTGGACCAGATAGAGACTTCAGATAAGTTATTGATTGTCAGAAAGTAGCAATAACTTCACATCTCAGGAGCTATTCTGGCACTTCACAACTTCAGACACAAATATGCAACAGACGTAAAGGATAGAATAAGTATGTGGATCAATCCAGGGCCTCTAATAACAGAAAAAACTGATTCTATCCATGGATATAAAATTGAACGCAATCTGAAACTTTTACTTTTACTTAGACAAATATTAGGATTAAATACAGAAAGTACATACATAGTGTATAGAAGTATTTTGACACAATTTTAATCAGTTAAAGTGATTTTCTGAATTGGATCCATTTTCTGACTTTGGACTGAGGGCTCCCAAACCCAGAACCTTGACATAATTGAGATATCTCCAAATGGTGGCTGGGCCGAGCATTGTAGGATGAGGAACAGCATCATCTGGAGGAAGCTTGAAGTAAAGTTGCTACTCCTCCATATCAAAAGAAGTCAAATGGGGTCATTAAGGCACCAGAAAGCACGTTGTTAGGATGAATAATGAGGGATGTTGGGAAACATGGAGGGGTGGTTACAGGCTGCAACAAGACATTCCCAAATCTCATCTTTATTTTCTTCAGCTGATGTGACAAAAACAACTTAGACAGGTGTTCAAACAAACGTTGGCAAGTATAAAAGCATGCATGTATTCCAGACCTTTAAGTAATACAGTATTTTCTCTTTAAAAACTGGAACAAATTAACCCTGGAATTCAATTTTTCTTGGAACATCAACTTTTTTCCCCAACCCTGGTTTTCAGTGTTTCTTCTAAGGTTTGAATAATGTTGTTCATTTCTAATTGGTGGCTTGTAATGCTGAGAAAATTGAGCATTTGTGGTAAGTTAATTGGGTAAGTGGGAGGAACAAAATCTTTTTACCCTCCCACTGTCCTAATGGGTGTGACCCCGCGAGGAAAGGTGACCATTGAGCAGGGTTGATGGGTTATCCCTTGAGGTCCACGTGGCAGGGGTGAGGAGTGCCACCTCACCCCTGCCACGTGGACCTCAAGGGATGTATGTGATAAAGGTTTTTCCAAGTATCACACTTAAGCTGCTATACTTGCAACGTGTCTGCAGCAACTTACATTTCTGGATCCTCTGTGGTTTTGTTTGATAAAATAATCTATTAATCACATTCTCCACTATATTATAACCAGAGGTGGAAAGTAACAAATTACATTTACTCACGTTACAGTAAATGAGTAGTTTTTTTGTATATTTATACTTTTTAAGTCATTTTTAAAATCTGTACTTTTACTTTTACTTGAGTACATTTTTAAAATCATCAATACTGCTCAATGATCAACTTTCCTCACGGGGTCACCCATAAAGACAGTGGGAGGGTTAAAGTAATGCCTTTCTAGCAGGACCATTTATATCCTGGTATAGATTTTGGCCCAGGTTTGTGTAGTGGAAACACATGGTGGTTACTTTTCTACCTACAGAGGATTCCAGCACAGGATCCAGAAATGTAAGTTGCTGCAGGCAAGTTGCAAGTATAGCAGCTTAAGCGTGATACTTGGAAAAACCTTTATCACGTACATCATTCTTCTTCTCACGTGAACGTTCATGGTTAACAGCTGTTTGGGAACCACACTGGTGGTTCCTTTCCACCCCGAGGTGATTCTAAGGTCTGCCACATCATGGCTCTAAATGAAACATCTGCGGCTGTGAGAGGTTCTCAGTGATCCATGGCCCCAAACCAAAACAGGTGGTTGAGCCAGAACACAAGAAAGCCAGAAGACATATGACAGTACCGTGGTCAGACTAGTCACTAAGGCATGGAACTGTGAGACTCCAGACTTGTTATTATCTCAAAGCTGATTCATGCCGTCTGCCACACATTGAGTGTGAAGGGTAAGTCGAGACCAAAGAGCTGATGTTTTGTTTGATAAAATAATCTATTAATCACATTCTCCACTATATTATAACCACATTGACTGGCATCACTTACCTGGGGGGCAGAAAGATGTAGTGTGAATACCTACCTCATCGTGTCTAGTGGGATGATGATCCATACACTGTGTGCACAATAACTATCTCTAAAGCCCCTTTACACACTAGGGCCAGCTCCACTCTACCAGCCCCAGCCTGGCTGCATTGATTACACACATTCTTCCACACATCCTCATGCAGAATGCAGACGTGAGCATAAGGGCGGTTTCCAAAATTGGCTCAAAGATGTCCGTGATGTCATCAGCACATCTCCAGGCACGTTGGCAGAGCTAAAGATGTGCAGATAAGTCAGTGGTGTCTCCCTTATATTTAACAAAGGCAAGTGTTAGCAGTGTTCATTTTGGAGACACTGATATTGCATCCAAACTGCTGTGTCTATCTTCCTGTGGGACAGCTCAACCCTGGCAGCACTGTTTGTGTGTGTGCTCATCACACAGAGACAGCTTCAGTCAGAGGAGATGTTTTCTCCTCAGTATAGAGAATGATAATGAATCGTGCATTCAGGAAGCCCCCACTGGATTCTACCCATCAATTGGAGGCTCCCTCTGGTACACTGGTAGGCATGACTTTGAGCTGGCCTCCTTTGGAAGTGGACTGAAAAAAACGACCGGTTGCACGCAGAAAAAAATCCAGGTTATGGGGATGTGAGCACTCCCTACCCTATCTAGGCGGAATGGAGCCGGGGCTAGTGTGGAAGCCATACAGGACTTGGTATTCCACCTTTACATTTTCTTTTGATTGGAATCTAAAGGTACACCTTTTAATGGAATTTTAGAATTACATATGATAATAATAACAATAATAATAATAATTAATAATAATAATAATAATAATAATAATAATTATTATTATTATTATTATTATTATTATTATTATTATTATACATCAAACGTATATAGCACTTTTCAGTGCACTCAAAGACTCCTGTACCAATAAATGATTGATTGTGTGTTCTCATTGCATCCAGACTCTAGTCATGTTTGTTCTCTCCAGACACAAACAAGTTTAGGCCAGTATCTATTTGGGCTCTGCTTAACAGTAACCATAGAAACACTACTTGGTATAAAAGTTGTGTGTGTGTGGGTGATGGTGTGTGTGTGTGTGTGTGTGTCAGTTCTGTCTTCTCGAT